TATTGTGCTACAGATATTTAATCACAAATGAGCAACTGTTGTTGATATTAATTGAAACGTCATTCCAGAAGTTATTCCGCAATGGTTTTTCAATTAGTTTTATGATTCATAAATTTTCCCAGCACTTGAATTTATAATTTTGAGATTGTTTATCTAAAGGAATAATTTTCTGATTTCGATGGAGTGTTCGTTGCTGGTAAAAATGGAGAGATCTCGTGTAGCTATTCTACTCTTGAACAGGGATGGCCAGAGAAAACTACTTCCGTAATATTGGTCGAAATTATCAGAAAGTATTGAAGCAATAAAAATTATTACGAGAATATTATTTATTAAGACTAGGGGGCTACACCCCCTGCTCGCTGCGCTAGCCAATCCCCATATGACGGTCATGATCCTTTTTCTGACCCTCGTGACCCTCATATTGACCCTCATTATACCCCTCGCGACCCTTATTTTACTATGGCGACCCTTAATTTGATCCTTGTGACCCTTATTTGGATCCTCAATCTGACCCTCATTATAACTCTCATGACTCTTGTTTAGACCCTCGTGGCCCTTGTCATCCTAAATTTTGGAGTCTTAATTTTGAGTACCAAATTTTTTTCCCGTGTGCACCAGAAGTCGATTTGGATTTTTATAATGTAGAGAGAAATTAATGAAAAGTGATTTGAAGACGATACGCACATTTATAAAATATTAGAAGATCAAAGAGTTTTCATTTCTGCCAACATTTCTGTTGATATTATTTCTATAGAAATCATGGACTTGAATCTTTCGATTTTTTTCGCTTCAATTTTCGAATGACGGAATGAAAAAAAATAGGTGAAAAGACCTTTTATGCCGAAGGATTTCTAACGCTAATATTTCAGAAGAATAAGTCTGAAGATATATCGCCATATGAAACTCGACTATTTTTTTCAATTAAATGCTTTTACTTAAAAAAATTAATGAAACACCTGGAATTTTTCGATAAAATTGGTGAAAATCAATAGAATTCTATAAGAATTCCTTGGCCAATCGTCTGTGGAATGCTTTAACGATTTCGTTTCTGCCATTTCCATGCAAAAATAAATGGCTTCAATGAGTATTTTTTGCTCGTCCGATTATTCAATCACCATTTCCATAAATAAATCGCGCATTTCCCTCATTGAATGAGCATATGTGAGAAAGTGTATGAATCTGCCCCAGAAGTCCCCACTGGAATGAAATAAATTACATTCACGTGAAATAGAAATGAGTAATATTTTGTTTTTGTTGCACCCAGTGATGAGGTCTATTATGAAATACTGTGTCTAATTCCAATTTCTCCGTGATGCTGATTTACTCGGTTAATCTGTTTCCTTCCTTCTTCTATTTTCTCTTCTGTTTTCGCTCCATTTCAATTATTGTCTCGAAAAAATTTGTATTTTTCAATTTTTTTTTACGTAAGCACTCCAAACGAATAGATTTTTTCTACTAAAGAATAATAATCATAGTACAAAAGTGAGCGAACAGATCATTTACATGAGTGACTCAGTCATTTGCTTTAATTTAAACAAATTTGTTTGACAGGAAAAAATTTGCCTCTCAATGTAGCAACCGAATACCAAAAATAGTCGACTAATCGATCTTTATTGTATCAAACCACAATTACAAAAATCATAACTATAAAAATGTATGAATTGAAAATCTAAAGGATTCTAATTTTTATTTCAAGAATGAGTTTAATACCATCATCGCACCACAGATGGCAACAATTCCTAGAGAATAATTTTGTATAAGTTTTAAACAATTGAAACGTCTTATCTCCGATGGTAGTTTATCATGTGCTGCTTCGGTCTCGGTCTTTCCAGGTAAAACGGATTTCTGTAATCCATCGAGAACAATCCCGCAATTTTCACACAGATGGCGAACAAAAATGTAGAAATCCGAACTGTCCGACTACGAACGCGATTTTCCACTGACCTAGAACCCAAATAACTGGAAAATTATGGGAAAGGTCAAGGAAATTAGCTAGAGGCTGAGACCCAACTTTAGAAATCCAGGGGACTCGTATATTCTAGTCTTTCCTCCTTGGGGAATACGTAGGATCAGAGTAAATCTTCGTAAACCCAACGATGTATTCTGCATGCAATTTTCCGGAATTCGTAAGTATCTTCTTGGCATGCTGCCCAAATTGCGGTTCACGTTTACTCGCAAAAATTAGTTGTCTGCTCGCATAAAAATTGATTCACAAATTAACCACGATATTCTTAAAATTCAGAATATATTCCTCAATGCAACATTATCGATGATTTTTTTTATCGAGTTGGTCTCGGTCTTGCCCCTCAGTTGGTCTCTATACTGCCCCAGTCGACTGTCCAGGCATTGAAGTCTCCGGTTATTACCACGCGAAAGTGCATTCGCATCCTCAGTTAATCTATACAGACAATCGGTGAACTCATCAATAGAGAGGCTGGGTAGCATTGCACTTCATTGCATTTCAAGTGAACCATTCGTTAACTATTAACGAATCTCATTTGAAATAAATGAATTAGTCTATCAGTGTGTAACGCCAAAATTTCTAACACATTAATTCAACGCCAATTTTTACTTTAAACCCACTTTCCCCCGACATTTTCCATTTTTAGTTTCACAAATTCATTTCTCCGCCATTTGCCTGTGAGTCTGCGGTCTATATTGATAATAAATGTTTGCAGTCTGATAAACTTTCCATTTTATCGGCTGTCACCGCAGGAATCGCAAATTGATGTAAATCGTCTCTTGTAGTTCTTTTTTTCTCAGCGAAGAGAATCAGAATTCAGTAAACGTGTTTCTACATCGCTTCTCCCTCACTCACAATCACGTATCTGCGTTGTTTACAGCGACACAACTGGAGCGATAAAGATCGGTGAGATAAATGTCAAATAAGCCGATCGCTCCAGAAGAAAACGTACGCCTCCGACTTGCGGTATTTTTTAGAACTCAACCTTCTGGCTTGAAGATCGCGGGTAGCCTGTTACCGATTATACTTGCAACGAGGGAAATGTTCAGGAAAAATTACGGAATCTCAATTCACAATTCGCTCACCGATTACGGAATCGACTCAGAAAATTTAAGTGACGGTATCGTCATTTTTCACAGGAGATACAGATCAAAATTACGGAACGCTCTGGAAAAATTCCGTGATAGTTCCGTAAAATTTTCTACAACCACATAGTGATGTTGCGAGACACTTTACGAGACAAAACTTCGGAGAGATGATCTCGGTCTCAGTGAACATGAAAATCTTTGCTCTCATCTGGATCTGCAAATAGACAGTATCGACTCCTCTCGTGATGACACCGAGTCTATTTATCTCATCTCGGTCTCAAGTTTTTCGTGTTTTTTAATGTAAAGTCTCGGTTTATTTCCCTCAAGTAAATCCATTCCACTCCATCAAATATTCTCACGTGAAACATATTTTTTCGGAAGAGCTAATTTTTCCTCTCAGTGTAACAGATTAATTATCAGACTGATTAGTCAATAATTAATTTGAATATAATGCTTCTGATTACGAGCGAAAATGTATTCTAACTTTTTGAGAACCATTGATTCAACGGAGAAGACCGAAATTAAATTCATTCTCTTGTCCCATGAAAATGAGACTTATGTTCGAGAAATACGTTCAGTGGTAAGCATAAAGGCTGGAATTGCGCATGCATTAGCTCATTACTGCTCTCTGTACAGCTTTATGCGACAAACGAATGCACGACAGTCCTGGGTAAAGTAGATGTTTCGAAACACACCGACTAGTTTTTGTTCCCGAAAACGGGAAATTCGCTTCGTCGTAGAAAACCTCGCGTGCCATGCATATCCAAACAGACGTTCCTTTCATAAAAATCCTAGTCACCATAAAGTCGTAAAATATTGGATTATGAATTTCGCGGAAAAATGACGGTGATTCCTAGCCTGCTCGCGGCCAGTGATTGCAGTATCTCTGCTCATAAATTTGAATACGTGATTAGAATTCGGAATTTTTGAATTTATGAGTTGCGAGTGAATGACGTCTTTCTTCATTCCGAGGCCCTTCCATGTGTTTTGGGATTAAGTGAAAAGAGTTGTAATGAAGTAAAAAAATTTGGGTCACACACCTTCGACCATCTGCGACGGTGGAACGGTGAAATCGAGTGTCTAAATGTCCTTCTCGGGGATTACCACAAGGACATCGTCCAAGGGCAGAAACTAATAGCAACGTTATAGTTTTTAATTTATACGAATGGTTAATGAAAGCGTGCTATGATGAAATGAATGAAGTTGATGACAATATGGAAATATCATGCATTCTCTTTGCAAACGAATTATTTTTGTTTTACTTCCGGACAAATGACGCATTTGAGACAAATGAAACTCTTCTTTTGAAATTTTTCTATTTTAATAATATTTTTGGTCTCAACTAAGAAACTCGTATATTTATCTTCATGAAAATGTTTTAAGACCTAGCTATTTTCAATAATCAAATTCGTCAATTAAATTGCGAGAGAAAAATTTGAAAAAAATCTTGAATATTCAGCGTAATTCAAATTATATTTTGCACAGAATTATTATTTTTTAAACCTTCGTTGTTTATAAATAAATAATTGAAATTATTTAAACTTTCGGAAAATTATTTTTTTTACGCATGAAATTGATTCCTAGTAAAATTCTGAATACGAATAAATTGGTTACGATTCCAAACAAATGATTTTCATGATGGAAAATTGATTGTTTTTTAATTATTTATAGAAACCGATCACGCGTCATTTTCAAAAATTGCAATTTTTAAATTATTTCATCAATCTTTCCCCAAAAGTAAACCTCCTCATTTTAAATTCAGACTTGCAACATTTAAGGACTAAAGTCATCAAATGGGGCTCAAAGGAAAGCTCTGATGCTTGATCACAGAAGTAGAAATGCATTTCACTGGTGAAAAAATAGCCAAACAACTTGAATATCCTGAATGATGTGAAATGAATAATTAATTCAGTTCGAGAAAATCCTCTACTAGAATAAAAAAAATTTGCTTGTATTCGAAAAATTATTTATTTAATGTGTAAATTCATTTAATTAAATTGAACATTAATGTTCAGCAGCAAAATGTCGTAAATTTTCCGAATTTTTCTGAATTTTGACGAAATAATTGAATTGAAATTCACAGTTTTCATGGCTTCCCTCATTCAAATCATGAATAATCATTTTCATGAAAATTCATAACCGTGCGATTACAAATGTAAATTTACATAAATGAACACAAAGAGACATGAGTTGCCATCAATTATTAAATTATTACAAATCATTAATCTTCATTTCATCTTTATTCTCGATTTTATATGTAGTTGGAAGTAGTTCTTGCAATTTCCACATTATCTGTAATCCACTGGAGATAACCGGAGACTCTCGTGTAGACATCGGGCCAATCGAGACTGCAAGGGATAGCGTACGAGGCGATACCAAGCTGCGCGCCTTCGAAGATCAAGGGCCCGCCAATGTCCTCGAAGCACAGACCCACGGTGCTGTTGAAATAAGTGCAAATGTGTTTTTCCGTAATGTACCCTCGGCGATCCTTTCTGCATTCTTCATTGGAGATTATTGGGAGATTGATCTCATGGAGTTTGTCGCTCAGCATAAGATTGTCCTGGAATTCGAGGAGACAATAAAAGGCCCATTTTGCATTTGTGGTAATAGAATAGACAATACATCTCCTCATTTACTTGTGGGAGCGTCCTTTTCTCCCTTCAGATTTCTAACGTTTTAATTTTCGTATCGACACTCATAAGCGCATGATAAAAATGGATGATGCATTGAGAAAAAACTCAATCAATGGTAATGATAGATGATAAGTGAAAAATTAATGAATAATTTTGAATCTCTGATCAGTTCCTTTGACTTTTCAAAGTGACTGTTTACCGTTGAATCAAATTCAAGATTTTTCCCGGAGAATTCACCCTAATTTTTTTAACAGTGTAACAAATAAAATTATTTCACTTGTATTGTACACGGAGAGAAATTTTTGATAAAAATTGTTCTACCGTTCTATACAAGTGTATCATGAGTCATCGTTTCCACATTTCTATCCCGAAATTTAGTAAAAATTAATATATGATGATCAAATTTTATTCGACGTTAGAAAAATTTTATCCTGACGCATAATGAATTTTACCCTTCCAGTCCAATAATTTTTATGTAATTTTTATTTTTATCAGGATAAAATTTCTCTAACGTAGAATAAAATTTGGTCATCATATATTAATTTTTACTAAATTTCGGGATAGAAATGGGGAAACGATGACTCATGATACACTTTTATAAAACGGTAGGGTAATTTTTATCGTAAATTTCTCTCCGTGTAGCTATATTCGGCGTCGCCATCACGCGATGTCAAAGAAGTTGATAACTAAAAATATTGAGCACAAAGCCAACATTCCGATATGCACATCCCCATCAGGCCTATTCTAATGCAAATGTGCTTCTTGGAACTCTTGGTTGTAAAAATATAAAAACACTCGAGTTACTTTACGTGAAGATGCGAGCGACACAATTCGCCGATTTTCTTTCTTTATTTTTTTTGTCGTTATTTTACATCGCTTCGATCCGGTTAGGGTATGCTGGGATGATCATCAAGACTTTAGATGGTTAGATCTCACCATTCTACCCGGCTGGGTTCTGAACTCGGAACCTTTCGCCGATTTTCTTTCAAAATACACGGAGAGAAATTTTTGATAAAAATTATCCTACCGTTCTATAAAAGTGTATCATGAGTCATCGTTTCCTCATTTTTTATCCCGACATTTAGTAAAAATTATTATATGATGATCAAATTTTATCCTGACGCATAATAAATTTTACCCTTCCAGTCCAATAATTTTTATGTAGATAACAACGAAAATTCTAGAACGGTTGGTAAGTAGTACCCTACCGGTACAGTAATTTTTACTCTGCCGGCATTTTTATTTTTATCAAAATAAAATTTCTCTATCGTAGAATAAAATATAATCATCATATATTAATTTTTACTAAATTCTGGGATAGAAGTGAGGAAAGGATGACTCATGATACACTTTTACAGAACGATAGGATAATTTTTATCAAAAATTTTTCTCCGTGTATGATTCTGTTTCTCCTTATAAGGAAGAAAATCATAACTCTCACCTTGACAGACCAGCCGGCAACTGTGCCCATCGCGCCATATCGCGTGAACTCATTAGTGTACAGTGTCACTGGTTGTACATTGTCATTGAACTGGATTTCCTCAGCAACACGGACAACTGCAATATTGTCGCGATAACGTTTATCGTAATTTTCATGGAAAACTATCCTGTCGATTGTGTATTTATCTCCACCCTTGAAGAAGTCATTTGTACCAACGACGGCCCACGTGACTTTAGGATTTCGTCTGTGGAGAATGATCAACACTGAGGTATTGGCCGGTGAAGGTGCATGCTGAGACTGATTGGAAGTTTCTACAGTTTTTTTTGTAATTACGTTTTGTAATTACGTGTTTGTGAACACGTCGTATTTCAGACGCTAACATAATTATCTCTTCGTTATCGTTTACGAACCAAACACCTCAATTTAGTGGTCACGTGATTGTCCTTCTCTACCCGTGAAAGGATAGAATACACAACTTCGTAAATACCTGAATTGATTAATGAAGTGCCAAACGGAGGTGACTTCAAATTGGCAAACGACATCGCAAACGTATTGCAAATTAATTGATCTAGGGGAAAATATTAGACGACCTCTTTGTGGCGAATTCCATCAACTACGAAGCGATTTTTTATATTTTATTCTCAACTTCCAGTCAGAATGTTCGCGTAATGAACATTTTCTTAAAATTCGTCGCGATGTTTTAAATGTGATTCTTGATCTCTATTATTTATTTATTAAGTGCTTTCTTACTCGCGAATCGCGGGGAGGGGGTGACAATGACATAGGTTCGCACTATTTTCTGCCAACATCTGTTTGTTTTATGTATTCTGTATGTTGGCTGCATTTAGGTTAATACCTAAAGCAATTTTTTGCATGCATTTTTTGTTATTGTTGGGCTAAGCAGGAGAGGCTTGTGTAGATGTAAAACAGTTATTGTAGCACCAATGAAATAAATTCTATTCTATTCTACCCGTAATTTTTAAAAAAGCATTTTTTAAATTATTTAATAAATTTGCCTGAGAAAGTAAACTTTTTAATTTTGTTTCTGATTTGTTTAATGTTTTCTAACGCTTCAATATCGACATTCAAATTCAGACCTGCAAACTTTACATAATAAAATCATTGTATAATAAAATGTCCGGAAACTCATGGTCAAATGGGGCTCAAATGAAAGCTCTGATGTTCAATTACAAAAGTAGAAATGCATTCCACTGCTGAACAAACAGCCAAAATCCGTGGATATCCTTAAATCCCTCTCGACTAGCTTGTCAAAATTTTCATTGCTACGGGTTGAATAAATCATGGAAAATAAGGAATTAATTACAAATATATACTTAGCGAAGCACGAAGCAGAAGTCAAAATCCACTGTTTATTTAGGATAGATCCACTGCAGAAATGATAGTACTCCTCCGTTCGATTGGGGTCCTCACTCTGCCGGAAGGACACGAGGTACGGGTACTTGTGGTCTGGTGCCTCTGTCCCACCGGTCATCCGTCTGACGCGCCCCCCTGCACAGGGAATTGATCAATTGATCGACGATTAATATCAGAGCAGTTGATTCACATTATCTTCGAGATAATACCATGAGCCGGGAGAAGAAGACTCAAGAGCAACGCCAACGGAATCATTCGCGCCATGATTAATGCTGGCTGCTTCGCAGACGCTCCAAGTTTTATACTTCTTTCCTAATCAGTGTTTGTCATTTCGATTGATCAACTACAAGTGGAAGGGGGAACGGGACGAGGCTCGCGTGTTGTCATGCCAGTGATTCTCATCTTTGAGAATAGAAAAAAGAAGTTTCTCAGAGGATCAATGTCACTGGGTTGTGCGGCATGCACGGACAGAAATATTCAGTAAAAATTACGGAATAATTCACGTAATCCGCAATGGGGAAGCGTTTTCCGCACAAAGTACGAAATTGTCACGTAATTTTTCCCGAAGAAGTAAATTTTGAAGGAACTTGCCGACTTATTGTGCCTCCAAAATCAAAAATTCTTGAACGTTCAACAATTTTTAGGAAGCTGGTGAGTTATTTCTACGTTCCGTTCCGTAAAATTTCTCACTCGTTGGGGAAACATTACGGAACGACTTGTTGTCCCCACAGCTGTGAGGCATCAGACGGGTGGTTAATTTTTGCGGAACAAATCGTAGAATTTACGTGGCGATTCGTACAATTTCGGTTCCGACTCACACTTTTTATTGAATTTTACTTCACTCGCAGATTACGTTTCGAAACGTAATTTCTACGTTTCTGTTCTGGTAATTTTTATTAAATTTTTATCACCGTGTGGGGGATTAGTGCGGTGTCATGAACAAATAATGAATTCGCCGAAGAATTCGTCTTGAATGGGATGAAATTTTGAGAGGGGTTCGTGACACATATCGGGGGGATGACCTGCCAGTTTTTTCTTTTTTGGATTGTATAGAGTTTTTTGAAGGCTCCTGGATCCTTTTATGCAAACACACGTGTGAATTCGGGGAGAATAGGACCTCGATGGGCTCAATGGACGTATTGAACTGTGAGGAGAGTGGCAGGGTTCAAAGTAAGCTCTGAGGGAAGTCCTAGTCGCTACCATCCAGGGGTAACAGATAATATTTCCCAAGTTTTTGAACAATTTCCCTGCTAAGGATGTTTATCCAAAATCGCAAGTGCTTAAAAAAATTGATTTGTTTTTTAACTGAGAGATGAAGATATTCCCTCCACTTTGATACAAATTTCAATCCACAAAAATCGTAAATATATATTGCTGTACACTGTTGGAAAATATTGGAATTTCAGGGACAGTTGGATAGTAAATAATGAAATTTTAATTAACAAATTATTTTGCATAATTAAGGATAATGCCCAAGCATTCTTCACGAGCGGGGGGGGGGGGGGGGAATTTGGCTGCACATTGCAGTCGTTCGTTTTTTCTTTTCCCCAAATTGAGGAATACGTAAATAATGGTTGATAAAGCCTAATTTGATTATGTCTTTATGAGAAAAAATCTTTAAAAAAGCACTAATATTTTGATACTAATTAGGTATTAATTTTTTCAAATTCTTCAACACTCAATTTATTTAGGAAATTCAAAAAATGAAAATATTCAAATGTGTAGCGAAAATATCTAAATTCTACTTTAACTATTCATGAAAGTTTTTTTTTAAATATTGTATCCAAGATTACACATAAAATTCAGTTAAATATCCCGTAAAACTCGGAATTTCATTTTTTTCTCTCTAAATTGAATTCAATTCCGTTGTCCTCTAGAATTACTACTGAATATATTAGTCAGACATCACGTCGATGAATCCCAATCGATATAATATCATCAGCCTAAAAATTATCGACTGAAGATTAAACCCAACGGATGACTCAATCATTGATATTTCGAGAAATGTTAAACACGATTTCTATTTGAATTATTGCCAAGTCTTACAAATGCAGTGAGAATGAAGTGGACACGAGTGAAAATAGTGGAGGACCCGCATAACGCGTTATGCAAGCGTTAGAAGGGGTTCCAACAATATTGACAATCAGAAGCGCGGTATGGTTGTCAATGTCGATAGAATCGCACGTTTTACTATCAGCGAAAATATCGGGGAGTAGCGTCGTGTGAATAGAAATAGCAGTTTGTTGACAATGCTTGCTCGTTCGCGTTCAAATGAACTTTCTAGCTGGGAATATCGAGATCATTAATGCAAATACTCCCGGGTTACGAGGAAAGAAAATATTGAAAAAGTTCCGGAAAAATTCCAGCATTATAAAAATTATTTGTTGGTGAGGCAATTATTGTATAGACTGTCAGAAATTTCTTGAAATTTCAATCACAATGTCATCTGATTTTTCAATGTGTGAGTTTGAATTCAATTTCAAGTGAAAACGTTCACTAAATTTCTCATTTTTCTTGAAAATTCAACAAAATTGGGTTTTTCATGTTAAACACTCATTGATTTTTCCATGAAAACTTGATTTCCAAACTCATCGTGAAAATTGAACATCACATACAATCCAATTTTTAATAGATGGGAAATTCAGAGAAGTTATTTTCTGAATTTTCAAAATTTTCAAGGTTTTTCAGTGCCGTATGGATCTGAAAACCGAGAATTACTAGAATATTTAAGAAATTAACTGATTCGTCGATAAAGAATTCTACAGAAATTTCATGTAACTTTATCGTTGTTGAAAATTCCAAGCTTTTTCACTTGAAATTTCAAGAGTAATTTTCTAATGGTGTATGGAATATTTTATATCATCAGGTATAAAAGGTGATGTTTTTTTTATAAAATGATGAGAAATTATAGAAATTATAGTGCAAATGGTCAGACTAGCGTGGAATCTGCCAGAAAATTCGGTGAAACTCTTCAGTTTTTTGTCGAACTACCAAGAGGACTTGCGTTGATACATGCTATCTCAATCGAAATAATTCTGTACAAATTAACGATATCCAAGTATTTTTCAGTTTGGTACAGAGAGCACTACATATTCAGCCAATTTCAGTCATAAAATTTGTCAATTAAATTGCGTGAGGAAAATTTGAAAAAAATTTGAAATTTTTAAACTCTCGGAAACCTTTTTTTTCTATTCGAACTTCTTAATAACGTTATCAATCCACTGTTTATAATTATAAACACGAGTGAAAACATCGGGTAATCCTCCAGCACAAGGTGCTACATAAGACTCTACACCAACAAGAACATTATCAACAATTAATGGAGCCCCGATATCTTCGTGGCAGAAGTCGCCAAGATCCTCGTCATGAACGCAGATGTGTTTTTCCGTAATGTCACGAGACTTGACGCACTCCTCATTCCGGATGATTGGCAGAGAGACGCTCTGAAGATGGCTGTTGATGGACAAATCCGCTTTCTGAAAGCGATCAAAAAAGCAAATTCGAGAGGTTGACAAATAAATCAGATCTCGTCACTACACTGTTAGAAAATTATTCTTGAAATTTCAAGTAAAAAATCTTGAAATTGAAAATGGAACAATTTACATGGAATTTCCATTGATTTTCTTATTGATAAATCAGTGAATGTTCTTGAATATTTAATGAAGTTTGTGATAATCAGGCAACTTTTCCTTTGAATTTTCGAATCTGTTGCTTAATTTTCGCGATAGGTTTGAAGATCCAAATTGTCATTGAAAATTCGATAATCATTCATAACGAAAAATTCAATTTTATTGAATTTCCAAGATGAATCGGGAATTCCATGAGTCATTTAGTCTGAAATTGAATTCAAGTCCAGAATATTGAAAATTCAAATGCATCTGTTACTTAAATTGCAAAAAAAATTTAACAGTGTACTGAAGACGAGGGGGAAATCTCACCACAGTGAACCATCCGACGATTTCTCCTAATCTGTCATAATCGTCGTGTCCATCAGTAGGAAGAGCAACGGAACGAACTTTGTCGTTGAACTCGATATCCCCAGCGACGCGAACTAGTGCGATGTTGTCGTTGTAGGGCTTGTCGTAATCGTCGTGGAACACTGCGAAGACAACGTCGAAAGTTTGACCCTTGTTGGTCACCTCGTCGGTGCCGACAGCTGCGAAGACATAGCCGAGGTCACGACTGCAACGAGGAGACTAAGGATTTAGTGAAATAGAACGGCTTGTGTTTCGGCTTAACATTTAACAATTAACAATTAATAATTGACAATTTTTGTCCGAAATTTCCGGTACACTTGGAAATTTTTATCGAAAAAAAACCCTTTTCCTCCCTTTTTTTTCCTTCTTTTAAATTTATTTTCTAATCACCACTGAAATTTCAAGGAATTTTGTCATTAAAAATTCAGAATTTCGCGGATCAATCAATCTTTTTTTCGCATAAATCACATTTAGTGTCGCTGTCCTGAAACATAATAGTCAACTGTCCATGAAATTTCATTTTTTTTCTAACAATGTGAGGACTTTTTCACTTGAAGTATCTTTTCTAAAAAAAAGGATGGGCAATGTCTTGAATCGAAAATGAAGGTAAGGCGGTTTTCATGAGTATAATCGACTTGCGAAACAAAAGAGAATTGAATACTATTCTACGAAACATAAATAACCGAATTATAATTGTCCAAATCTTTTTTTTTATTTAAAGCATTCAAACTAATGGGTTTACTCTGCTGTATTTATACAAAAATAAGTCGATAATTTTTCATACTTGAATGTATATTGCACTGAGGAAGGCTCTGACATCATATGGAGGGAACATACGTTCCCCCATAAGATCGCGGAGGGGAGGAGGTTCTGTAATTCCTGACGAGTCGAGTTTCATTATTTTTATCGTGTTTACTCACCCTTCGAAACACGATGCAGCCGAGAGAATCCAGTTTTTATGGATAATTGCACCACTGCAGATGTGAACGTACTCGTTTTGCGGGTCCGGACGGACCCATTCTCGGAAAGAGACCTGATAGGGGTGGGTGTTCTTCACAGCATTATTTGTGGGGAGACTTGCGCCTGAAAGAATTGGGAAAAGATCAACGGGATGATATTCAAGGGACAAAATTTTTAATTCTCAGATGATACCCTGAAAATCAATGAACTTAGTGAAACTTAACTGGTGTTCCTGAAACTTAGTGATGCTTTCACCAAAAATCAGTGACAAAATCACTAAATTCTAGAATTTCGCACTCGTTGAATTTTACAGTTGCGAATTTTACTCTATATAATTTGAAATGTTTGTTTCTTCAGAAATTCATGGAAAATTCTAGAAAGTTTAAGAAAGGTCTAGAACGGTACAGAATCCTCCAGACAATTCGCCAATCGTCTCAAAAACTCTCCAATTTTCCGATCCAAACGGCAAAAACGTATTTCGCTGCACGTTTACTGGGAGATTCTTACTGCATTCTTCTCTCCATGTAGAAATTTAGAGCTTTCACGGAAGATTTTTGTATATGCAGACAATTCAGTAGCGAAGTGGTAAAAGGAGATAAGTCAATTTTGACTATTGACCAGTTTTCAATCAATATCTCTGAATCTAAAGGAGATAACAAAATTTTTGTTATAACCTTTTTTGTGGAGCCGATTGAGTGCTACAATAAATGTAAACATGAAAGTTTCGCTATCTCCCTTAGATTCGGAAATATTCCTCAAAAACTCAACTGGGAAATGAGTCGACTTATCTCCGTTTACCACTTCACTACTGAGGTAAAAGCGAGAGACTCTGAGCATACTAACCACTGGCGAAAAGGGCAAGTCCGCTCAAAAGTATCCCAAAGGCAATCATGACTCTTGACATTATAATACTTCTCGCAAAAAATGTATCCTTTTATAGTACAGTGAACCGGATTAGATAACAAGTCAACAACGCTTGTAGCTTGGGACTGATAACGGAGCGGAGGCACAAGATAATTTTTCAATTTTGTAAGGTAATTTTTCGCAACGATTACTCAACGATTACTCGGAGTAATCGTTCATTGATCACGCGTACTTATCATATAATGACGGATATTCGTCGTTACTACTCGTTATTGATTTAGATAATTCTGGTGGACTGAAGTGAACTATTGTTCATGTATTCGAGATCATTCCATGTGCTTATGTGAAGTTCTTGAATGATATGGAGTAATAGTAAATGGAATTTCAAAATTGCAATTTTATTTTTCTGACCTGTCAATAGAGGATACGCCGAGAGGAAAATCGATGAAACATTACCAGGAAAAATGATTGAACAGTGTCGAGTCAAAATTGACTGAACATAAGGTAGAATTTATCTGTCTTATTTTGGATACTTTTTCAGCAGCAGATCAAAAATTACTGTTCGTTTGAGAAAAATTATTTACAAAATGGAAAATTTATCCTTTGCCTCACATTTTGTCATTGATTATCTGAATTATTTGGTCATTTTTTACTAAACTCTTTCGCCGTGTATAAAATGGTTTCACTGAAATATGAATGATTTTTACATGTCTGTAAGTATTATTAATAAAATACTAATTTTAAAATACTAATAAAATACTAATTTGTTTTTTATTAATTACAAATTGCATATTCAGACTGTGACAACATGCAGTTACTCTGACCCAAAAAATTGGAAACATGGATTTGAACGAATACAAAGCTTCCAGTCGGAAGCAGAAAGCAAAACATGAAGCCTGACCCATCGTCCCAACGGCCGTACGCGTGACTCTTCCCTCTAGAAATTTACCGGCAGAAGACTCAACGACAATGACACGATTTCCATACTTTCTTTGAATTAAGATAACGCTGATGACGTCAAAAAATTTAGGTCGCACGTAATCGACGCTGTGTCCACAGAAAGTGGAAATAAATGTCTCCAGCAACTTCGGGATTCCGTCAAGGTTGCGTCGTTCAAGGTCATTAGGTCAGATCCGAAGAGTCCTTACAGTCAATATATTCAACACGTGAAAGTGCAAACAAAAGATCTTCCAGTAGGGGATTATAGCGGAATAAAACACAGTGGATTCTCATATTTTTGTGGTATCAGTATTTATTGAGGGCGGGTCAATGACAGTTCTGCCTGAGGCACTTGAGACGATCATGCTTATGTCAATGACTGAAGAAATTATTGATTGATGAAAGCAGTTCCATCAAATCCTCAACCGACGAAAATAGAGATTCGAAGTTCTCACTCTTCTCTTCACATTTATCTGCGTTACTATGGGCCATTTTGCTCTTATCAGCCGCACCCCATTCAGGCTAATACTACTTGAGAAACCATGGAAAACCCCAGCCGTACAGCTGGCCGATATTTCAGAATCTTGTGAACACGGAGAGAAATTTTTGATAAAAATTATCCTACCGATCTATAAAAGTGTATCATGAGTCATCGTTTCCTCATTTCTATCCCGAAATTTAGTAATAATTGATACACGGAGAGAAATATCCAATGACAATTACGTATCTTTTCCGTAATTCCGGAGCGAAATGTGGTTGTAGGAAATTTTACGGAACTGTCACGGAATTTTTCCAGAGCGTTCCGTAATCGGTGAGCGAATTGTGAGTTCCGTAATTCTTACTGAACATTTCTCTCGGTGTATATGATGATCAAATTTTATTCTACGTTAGAGATATTTTATCCTGACGCATAATAAAGTTTACCTTTCCAGTCCAATAATTTTTATAGATAACAACGAAAATTCTAGAACGGTTGGAAAATTTTACCCTAGCGGTACAGTAATTTTTACTCTACCGGCACGGTAATTTTTATTTTTATCAGGATAAAATTTCTCTAACGTAGAATAAAATTTGATCATCATATATTAATTTTTACTAAATTTCGGGATAGAAATGAGGAAACGATGACTCATGATACACTTTTATTGAACGGTATGATAATTTTTACAAAAAAATTCTCTCCGTGTAGGCGAGGGGTTAAAGGAGAAATATTCATTAATCAAACGCAAAATTCCAGACAAAGTCATTTATTTGGTGATAAAAGGTCTTTTCGGTGTGGTCACTCCAGAAAAAAGATTCTACATTTTTTTCTACGAGTGTTTTGTTTACAGTTTTCTTTCCAGAACAACGTTATTTCCTCCCCTAGACAGAAGATGTAAAATTTCTTTCCTAAAAAATTCAACATCTCAGCCATTCACGGCCACTAAGGCAAGTTCAATTAGTCATTACATTAAAAGTATAAAAAGTAAAAAAAAAACACGGTTGGAGGATTTTCGGTGGTAGAATACACTAAGTAAGGGTTTATTTCCCCTTGCCCTTGTCGATGGGCTCCTGGAATATTTTTGCACAGAGAATAGGATATTTACAAGTCCAGATCGGATTAAATCAGTACAGACATGCAAATCAAATCAATCAGGGAGTACAAGTGCATATTTCTCTTGAACTTCTTCAATCCAGTCGACGTAGTTTGACACTCTGGTGAAGACATCGGGGTAACCAACGGCGCAAGGCGTCACGAAGGAAGCGATACCTACTTGCACGCCATCGGCAACCAGAGGACCGCCAGAGTCACCCTGAAAACAAAATTCAATTAATTCCGGCGTAATTTAATAAAGCAGTATTGATACTGTCACCATTTCTGCATATTCATAAATTATTTGATGAAGGAAATGACTCACGAAACACATTCCTTCGTTCTCCTTATTGAACGTGCAAAGATGTCCTTCAGTAATCTCTCCGTGAATGCTGTTACATAAATCATTGGAAATGATTGTCAATGATATTTCCTGGAGTGCATTGGGTGAGGATGGTCCTGCAGTCTGCAAATAGGAAACAATTCCCGACTTTAACGTCGATTGAAGAGGATGAAATCATAGAAATATCGATTGCGTACACTGTTGTAAATTTTTTGAAATTTTAGGGAAGATATTATTAATCTTATGAAAGTGACATTGAATCGAATTTAGGGAAAAAATGGTTATGAAATTTCAAGTTTTAAGTAGAATTCACGGAAATTCATGAGTTTTCAGTGGAACATGAATATTCAGAAACAAAATAATATGAATTTTCAATTTTTCCCAGTTTTCCAGATTTTTTTGAATTTTCACAGAATAATTGAACTGAAAAATTAAGTATTTTATTGATTTCCAGATCATTTAAACAGAAAATCAATGGAATATGTGATTTTTCAATGACAAGATTTCCTGAAATTTCAGTGGAACTTGAACACGATAAAAATTTCCGGAATTTGGCACGAAAAATTCAGACGAAAAATTTTGACAGTGTACTGGCAGCCCACGAAAAAATAATGTCTTGAAAAATGAATAACAAGTATTTGAATTTAAAACATCAGTTTTCTTCTGTGAAAACTTTCCTTTTCGTCACCCCAAGAATATGGTCTTGAGTAATTGAGCGCAGGGAAAATATTGTTACTAAGTAATTTTTGAAAAAGTTTATCATAAATTAATCAAAGTTCACTACTTCGTGATTCAAATTTGAAAATAATTTTCACTTCTCAATAATAATTAAACAATTAATCCTAAATATCTGATTTTGCAGTTAATCTGATAATCATCATTCTTGCGAAGTTGATTACTAATTTATAAAATATTTGAAAAATTGAAAATCTTGATTGATCTTCAACATAATAGAAATTAAAAAACTGTATAATACCATTACCTGGTTAAGTAAGTAATAAAATAAGATACAATAATTTAATAATTTAGTCTGCAATTGAATTCAAGTTTAGAATATTCAAAATTCAAATGCATCTGTTACTTAAATTTCAAAAAATCTGTAACAGAGATTTGTGTATACATGAAGGAAAAAAAATTCTAGTTTCAAGAATCAAGTTAATAATTTTCAGAAGCTCATGGTTCTGGACATTGTAATGTTCCGTACACCCTTTTTAAAAATTATTGTCAACGAACCGTTGTGTATCCCCATCCAGCGAAAGCAGCTGAGGAACCGACCCTCTCATTGCTCCCCGACGGTAATCCAACAGGTTGCACATGCTCGTTGAACTCAATGGTCCCCTTGATGCGTACCAGCGCAATGTCGTCATGATGGAAATTTTGATACTCCGGGTGGGTAACGGCAAACCAAGCTTTGTAGCTCTCACCAGCGTCGGTCAGATAATTAGTTCCAGTAACGACATATGCCCTTTCCAAATCTCTGAAATGAGGAAGGAAATGCGAGAACTGATTCATCCAATTCCGTAGCGAAGTGGTAAAACGGTTCAAGTCGACTTATCTCTTGGTTGAGTTTTTGGAGAATATCTCCGAATTTAAAGGAGATAATGAAATTTTCATAGTAACCTTTTTTCTAGAGCAAATTGAGTGCTACAAAAAAGGTTTTAACAAAAATTTAGCTATCTCCCTTCGATTCCGTGATATTCACTAAAAATTGGTCAATAGTCAAAATCGACTTAAACCGGTTTACCACTTCGCTACTGAATTACATCAGGCACTCTGTGTACTTACGGCTCCACGCAGTGGGCAGCAGTGAGGATCCAATGTTTATTGAGAATCGCACCACCGCAGAAGTGAAAATCTGGCTGTCCTGATGAGTATCGCCGGCGCAAGGATACAAGATACGGATACTTGTAATCGGGCGCTTCGGAGCCACCAACCACTCGTCCTGATAAGCTGGCGCCTGAATGGAATTTCGGATTTCGATAAAAATTCAATGAAATTCAAAAATTTCAAGCAGCGTTAAGACGAGAATTCCTCCACGTATTTGAGATTTCAATGAAAACATGAATAATTGGTGTCAAATTATACTAAATTTTCAATTAATTGAAAATTCAAGAATATATTTACCGAAATTTTACTGGAATTTTATTGATTTTTCATCATTCAATCATTGATTTTTATTCATTTTCAGTGGATCATTTAATTTTCCACGAAATTCTGAATGTTCAATGAGGAAATTCCGTAAAATTCCAGTGGAACTTGAATATGATGAGAATTTCCAAAAAATTTTTTGTCAATGTTCATACGGACAGAGTATAAAATAGTATTTTTCGTCACTAGGCCGAAGGAAAATTTTCTCGCGAATATGAACTGCAATTATATGAGCTAGCAATTTTTTTTCGGACTTTGTGGATTGAAATGCGTCGATATAACACAAAAAATTGAAAACTTAAATTTACGCAATTCCAAAACTTCCTTTGAGAGGCAAATATTGTTGAATTTCAAATATATATATGCTGCACATACCATTAGCTACCGCGAAACAACCCACCAGAAGACCCAAGACAATCATGGCTGGAGCTGGCAGTCAACCCGAATTATGGTGTAATGATTAGAGAATCAAATCAATACACAATAACGGGTTCTTATACCAACGATCATATCAAATCTAGGTATTCGTGGAGAGATAAATAGACACAATTCTGTAAACATGATTGGAATATGATGTGCTCGGCCCACAATCAAAACATTTAATCACTCATCTTCCAATTGAAGATGAAAATCAGCAGCGGCGTTATCATATCGTGCTGATCGTTAGTGCGTGGCAATATTCGTCTCTATTTTTGTATCATGCATCATAGGTTTTTCCATCCTCGATAACCTCAATATTGGGATATCATCCGTTCGATCGTCTCCAGGCTTGTTCAAACGTGTACGAAAATTTTATTAAGAAAAAATACCGGAAAAATTACTGTGTTAATACATTAGTTAATACATTGTTTAATATATTGTTTGAAAATCATTTCATTGAAATTTATGGTCAGAGTCTTGAAATTTTCTAACAAGTATTATTTTCTCTGCAAAATTCAAGGAATTTTGCCATTGAAAAATGATAATTTCATGAAAAAAATCCATGGAAACTGTACATTAGAGTTCAATTATTTCGAAAAAAATAATGAATACACAGGAAACTTTAGAGAAATTTCTCCTGAATTTCAAGATTTTCTGAATTTTCCTAATTGATCGAATCTCAATGAGGATAGAAATTTAAAGTAGTGGAGACTGATATAATTAGGAAAAACTCAAACAGACAGGATTTTCTGTGCTGTTAGTTGCTGCATTGAATCAATCAATTCTTATAATTCAGAAATTCATTAGCGAAGCGGTAAACCGGGTTAAGTCGATTTGGACTATTGGCCAGTTTTTGACAAATATCTGGGAATCTAAAAGAGACAGAAAATTTTTTGTCATGACCTTTTTTGTAGAGCCAACTGAGAGTTATAAAAAAGGTAATGAGCAAAATTTTGCTATCTCTCTTAGATTCCGAGATATTTGTCAAAAAATGGCCAAAAGTCAAAATCCACTTAACCCGGTTTACCGCTTCGCTACTGAATTCAATCAACGGACATTGACAGAGTACTCAAAACTCACACGTTCTCAACCTTAGGTTTTCTGTCTCTGCGCCGTTTTAATCTACAACATCTATCTCATCTCCAAGTTCGACGTTTCCATCCATCCTGGTCTTACCACGCACGACTTTATCTACTGCTTCGACTCCCCAAACGCATGTGAATAAGGAACAAGATTTTGAATGGAAAAAAAATCAAATCGAGAAATGATAACGGAGAAGTCTGTCGTCGTGTTCTAAATTACACTTAATTTTTCTGATTTCCATTAATTTTCTGTAAATTATTAAACTGAAATGCACAGAAGAGCTACGTGTTCTGTTTCCATCCATCCTGGTCTTACCGCGCACGACTTTATCTACTGCTTCGACTCCCCAAACGCATGTGAATAAAGAACAAGAAGTTGAATGAAAAAAAATCAAATCGAGAAACGACAACGGAGAAGTCTGTTCTCGTGTTCTAAACTACACTAAATTTTTCTGATTTCCATTAATTTTGTGTCAATAATTGAACTGAAATGCACAGGAGAGCTACGTGTTCTGTTATTGCAACTCTCGAATAACCAATTCAGTAGCGAAGTGGTAAACCGGTTTAAGTGGACTTATCTTCCAGATGAGTTTTTGGGGAATATTTCCGAATCTAACGGAGATAGCGGGATTTCCATAATTACATTTGTTACAGCTCTCAATCGGCTCTACAAAAAATGATATAACAAAAATTTTGCCATCTCCCTTAGATTCCGAGATATTTAGCAAAAACTCGTTAATAGTCAAAATTGTCTTATACCGTTTTACCACTTCGCTACTGAATTAAATTGATACGATGTCATTCTCAGATCTCAACCCATCCATTCCATTGTTGTTCCCCTGAGGGACCTTGAGACGTAGGTGGGATCCGTCAGAATCGTGTCCATGATAACACTACGTGCTGAAACAATTGTGGAACAAGTGTATCGACGCGTGAATATTTTTTTAGCAAAAACAAGTATAGACTCACTTAAACACAATTGATCTAAACCATAATACTTTTTTCCACATTTTTTTTCCCGTGAATTTTCTCCCATCCCAGATGCTGTGATTCATGAGCCAGGAAGGACGTGAGTCGTCGAGAATCGCGCACCGCAGGTTTTTTCCGAGATAACTCCAACGCGTTTTCATTAATAACTTCTCTTATTACCCACTTAGGAAAGAGTATTTATTTAATCCTTTATCTTGATTGGTTTAAGATGTTATCGTTCAGTTTATGCATGACTCTGGGATGATATAATATTCGTTTTTATGTAAGAAGAAATCAACCGGATGAGAATCATTACGGAATTCATCTCAATTTTTCTGTTTTTACATAGATTAATTGAACGAAATTGACTCAATTAGAGATTTTTTAAAGAATTAAATAATAAAATGTACATCATTCGTGATGGACGACATACATGATTAATTCGATATATTAATGGAGACAAATGAAACTGACTGATGGATGTTAATCAATTGATTTAGTAGTGGATTGTCTATCTTCGGAAATATGTATTATCTCGGAAATTAGTTAGTGTAAGGAAAAATATCAACGAACATTTTTTTATAACGATTAAAAAAAGTCAATCCACAATTTAAAAAAAAAGAGTCTATAACTTTTTTTCTGTTTGATTTCGAATTGTTGAGAATCATTTTGAAAATTTGAAATAATTAGATTTTAGTTTTTGAGAAAAATTCATAAAATTATTGACAAATTTCAATTTTTGAAGATTGTGCCTCCTTTTAAATAATTTATAATAAATTAACTTTTTAAAAAAAATCACATTGTAAAAAAATTTAACAAATTGCTATTAATTCAGAATTTGATTGAAATTAATTGAATCGAGAACAAAAATTGTGCCCGATTATCCTTTAACTAGGATGATAATTATATAAATTTTTTTAAATTTTGCTCACTGCTTTTAATTAAAATATTTGCGTATTGAAAATCTCTGAATATGTTTGTAAGAAATATTTGTTCTTACAGAGGTTTGTTTTTTCAAAATTAATCTAGAAGAGCGAGGAAAATGTTTCCAAAAGAATCAAGAATATATTTTAAATATTTTGTAGTCATTAAGTCAGAACGAATTAATATTCTCAACTAATACGCTCCCCCGCTATCGGCTAATTTTCAAGAAACAAATTAGCTGTTCATTCTCAATGATTCCTAAGAACACTTACAGTCACCACCATACAAGTGTTACAGCCCATTTCGCATACTTAATTATGAATATTCCACGTTTGAGGTCGGCGCTTTATTTTCCCACGGTGTGAACAACGTCTGTACCTAGGAGGCGGCCACAAATGTTCTACTACTTCATGTTCATAATGTCCAAGTGGTCATGCTATTCGAACAACGTTATCTCATTCAACAGCGCGTACCACTGGTATCATCAACAATGCAGTAATGCATTGGAGCAGACAGTCGTTTGTGCGGGGAATTATGCGACTAATACGCGATTACTTTGGTTGCGTATCAACTGCAACAGTGAGGCTAGCAAATGGATAAAATTACCCAACAGTCAATCGAAAGATCAATCCATTGAATTTCTTTCTATTAATTAACTGTTTAAAAAATCAGTACCGAAGCGATAGACCGGGTTAAGTCGACTTTAACCAGTGGCCAGTTTTTGACGAATATCTCGGAATCTAAAAGAGATAGAAAATTTTTCGTCATAACCTTTTTTATAGAGCCAATTAAGGGTTATAAAAAAGGTCATAAGAAAAATTTGGCTATCTCTCTTAGATTCCAAGATATTCATTAAAAAGTGGCCAAAAGTAAAAAAAACACTCAACCCGGTTTACCGCTTTGCTACTGAAATGACGCGAAAAGAAACAAATATGATGTTATATCGACGTTTCATAATGAAACAACGGTACCTCAATTTTATTTTTAAAACAAGGGTATCGCAAAATTCATTAATTCGTTAAGACTAGAGCATCTCATGGCCCTCGTACCAATCAACAAGCTTTTAACTTGATTGTTTGCAATTATCTGTCAGCGCCTAAAAATACTGTTGGTCTATTCTATAAGCTCTGAAGAGTATTTCCCCCGTAACAAATTGCCTGAACTACTTGGATGAACAAATGGCATAAACCTGACAAAACACTTAGAACACTGAGAGAAAAATATGATTCTTCTGACTATATTCCATCACCATCGAACTATAGTCAAAAAGTCCTCAACAATTTTGCATGGGTTATGGTAACTATGGCCGAATAAGTGATTACTACAATGGAATATAGTCAGTGCAACTATTTTATAGTTCTACTCACGATAGATTTGTCATGGTTACTTTTGAACTTCGGTTAACTGCATTTTGATTTGCAAAAATTACGCTTGTGAAGGTACTATCCACGGAGAGAAATTTTTGATAAAAATTATCCTACCGTTCTATAAAAGTGTATCATCAGTCATCGCTTCCTCATTTCTATCCTGAAATTTAGTAAAAATTAATATATGATGATCAAATTTTATTCTACGTTAGAGAAATTTTATCCTGACGCATAATAAATTTTACCCTTCCAGTCCAATAATTTTTATGTAGATAACAACGAATATTCTAGAACGGTTGGTAAATTTTATCCTACCGGTACAGTAATTTTTACTCTACCGGCACAGTAATTTTTATTTTTATCAGGATAAAATTTCTCTAACGTAGAATAAAATTTGATCATCATATATTAATTTTTACTAAATTTTAGAATAGAAATGAGGAAACGATGACTCATGATGCACTTTTATAGAACGGTAGGATAATTTTTATCAAAAATTTCTCTTCGTGTAATGTTATGTGCCGCATACAAAAAAAATCGTATCGTCCACCAAAACTGCCTCAACTATTTTCTTATTGTAAATCGAACTTCAGATTTTTCTCTCAGTGAACCAATAGTCCCAAATGCATGAAAGTAAAATAGTTCAAAAAATTGATTTTTCATCAAACTCAAGTTCCCTCACGGCACCAGAAGCCCCTAATTACCTCCCCATGACCATTGTTCCACTCCACCTCGACGATTGTCTTCCATATTAGCTGAAAAATCTCTATTTAAGTTTTCATCATCAGTGGTCTTGAACTCAGCTGGGAATTTGATGGAACACGATGTGTTGCAACTCGTGGGACCGTCACTCGTTATCTACCGCCGTTATTAGCATTGTCTCCATTCCCTCTACATCGGGACAATTCCCTGCGTCACCTGTCGTCACCGGCGACGAGTGCTGCAAGCCCCAAGGGATCGATAATTTCCGGTATCGCTGAATCATCGTCCCCAATGGCCAGAATAAACAACTGGAATGGCACGAAAAAATGGGGGAAATGCAGTGAGTTTGCATGTAAGAACTGGCCGCTGGAGTTACGCAAACTCGTGTCAGTTTGCGCCATTACACACGTAAGAAATATACGCAAATCGTTGAGCTGAGGACGCCAAGGTCTTCGGATACTACCGGCCGGTGCAGTCACGTACATAACCCACTGCGGCGTTCCAGATCATCGTGAGAGCCAGCCCGTCCTCAAGGTGGGCGCGCCTTGTTTTGTTCTTTTTTCCAGCGCACAAGACTTTGTCGCTCAGATCCCTCCCCACCTCCACTTTTTAACTGCAGCCACCTCCCGAGGATTGTCAATGTTTGTTGATTTGTTAATGAGGGGATCGGCTGCATTACGATTTCTCACATCATACAGTCGCGAATGCAGCGGTCTTATGAATCATGTGAGAACGGTCAAGGGCAGCTGCAGCTGGGGGCAATTTAATTGATTGAGTTTGCTGGAGATTTACCGAGAAGTCAGTCTTTTGGGGGATTCGGGAGTAATGTTTGCCGGAAATTTTTGTACAATTCTAGGAATTTTTTGTCAAATGACAATTCGACTGGGTTTTCAAGTATTTTTGGGATTAAAAATTCACAATTTGATGGAAGAATTAGTGGAAACTGGAAATTTGTGTTCGATTATTTCACGAAAATTTGATAGAAATAAGAGAAATTCAGAGAATTATTTTTCGTATACTTGGCTTCACGCGAGGAGCTGAAAAAATGGAAGATTGTGAATCCGACAACCGAGATTTTTCTATCATAATCAAAAGTGAAGATTAATTCAAGTACAATGTGCGTTAGTTTGAGCAAAATCTACTGATAATTAGGAATGAGTTCATCTCATTTGCAGGATTTTTCGTTCGCTGAATTCAATCACAACAAAAATTTCACTGGAACTTCTTGTCTGAAACTAATTTCATTGGCAGGATTATATTTTTTCTCTGCATAAAACTATAAGAATTTGTTTTGCCTGTGAAAAAAAATACCTATCCATAATTTTTTTTTAATTCATGGAACGTTTTTTGTCACCGATTTATTTGGTTATAATTTAGCCCTATTCATAGGTTTTACTATAGGCATCCCTATAGTTATAAGTAGTTATACACAACTATAACTATTTCCACAGCTCTAAATATAACTATATCAACACCTTACGCTTGTCTGTTATTAAGGTGTCGATATATGTATGATTATATTTATAAATATCGATAAATGAAAATAATTTCCACTCCAACATTTCTCCAATTTGAAATTGTCCAATGAATTTTGATAATTTCAATAACTGACCCATTACAACCCACACGAAAAAATTTATATCTTGAAAAATATATGAAAAAAATATGTTAAATTGGCCCAATTTATATAAAAAAATTTATAAAATATATGTGTCACATTTTTTTACACATTCTTTATAAATTTGCCAAATATATGGAATTGGCCCATATCATATATTTTTTATATATTTTTTGATGGGGGAACACAAGGCATTTCATGCATTTCTCATGCACTCATGAACAATGAAGCGCATTTCTCCAAACCAGTTAGTCCCAGGTGGTTCAAGTCCATCTCCAAATATTACAATTATGCTGAATTATGGGACGATTATGCTGTATAGGATCTTGAATGAACTCCATTGACAACTAGTAACATTTAGAATTATTACAAAATATTTTACGTAAGAAAATCTCAAATTTGAAAAAATCGAAATATAATGAAGGGTGTTCATTCATGATCATATGTAGCATACTCATCTCATAATTGAACATAATTGTAACATTTGGAGATGGACATGGACCACCTAGGCATGACTCACTTGGAGAAATACGCTCTTAAAAAATCATTCTTCTCCCAAGAAAATGATTCCTTGGCAGAAGTAATTTTTTTTCTCAGTGTACGCAAGATACCCCAGCATAACAAAAAACGTTCTATCCCTCATCGTCCCTCCCCACAAGTCGCTACACTTGATCTCATCGAAACCCACAGAATACAAATTACCCAGTGATTCATCCGATGACTGCGAGATTGAATGAAAGACCTTATAATGCATCACTTCCGGCATAATTAAATCCACGTAATCCTCCGAGTCTCTCACCACCCGAGCGGCGAAAAAAAAAATTGTTGTAAATATGATTCCCCCATGATTCTCTAATTCTCCAACTCCCCGCCGCTCTTTACCTCAAACCTCCGAGCCTCTGAACAATGGTTCCTCTGAGGTATCGTCGACGGGTGGGATGACTCGTGCGACACAGAAGACGTGAGAAAAACTAGCCACGGTGTTGCAAGTGACCTCCTCCCTACTTCTGTCATATTCTCCCTCTTTTCATTTTCACTTATTCTATTCTCTTTTCCTATTATTTTGTTTCGTTTTTTCTCCTGTGTCGTGCACGCCCGATCCACCTCCACTCGTTAACCACTTTTTATGTACTCCTCCTCCCCTTCGTTTTTGTTCCTTCGCGGGCAATAGTAATACTTTAGTAGTCATAGTTTTGCCTCCCCCTCTTTGGCCACCGTGGATGACCTCTTGTGTCGCTCGAACTACCTCGCACGCAGATAAATGTATACGTGCGAGCCCATGTCACTCTTAGTAACGTTACCAACTCAAGAGCTGTCCAGTACTCCAGCAATTGTCCAAGGATATTTTTCGGTGGTCATTTGGGATATTTTGTGGTCTTGTTATTCAGTTTTCGACGATAAAATTCGGGTGTATGGAAGTGTGAGATCGGTTGGAGGTTTTCGTCGATTTATCGGGGCGATATGGAGGTGATACATCGACCGGTACGCGTCGTCGTCGTGGGACAGAGTGCTTGGACATGCGTAAGTCTCGTGGGGTAATTAAACGCGCACTTAATTATTGGGAAGATGGGAAATGCCTTCCTTCGATGATTCTTCGTTCTTTTGATTATTCGACGATTGGCTCAAGCACGAGTCGTCAGGGGTGACAAGGTTGCAGAATATTTTTTGTAGCTGATGAAATTTGCGACGAGAAATGTCTTTCGGCACTTTCTCCTCAGATCAATCATTCCTGGGATAATCATCAACGCATCAACGCTTCCCCAGTTTTTATACAAAAACCTGTTTTTCAGTTTTTAATTTAGGAAAACGTCATATACGTTTTTTTGTAGCTGACCAAATTCTTAATGAATTTAAAAAAATATTCTTCTTTTGACCTCTCATCATCGAGATAATTTGATACTTGAAAGAATTATTTTTTGATGAGGAATCGATCCGGAATTATTTTGGCAGTTCTCGCGCAATAATTAACCGCGCACTTAATTATTGTGAAGATGGGAAATGCATTCCTACAATTTTCTTTTGATCATTTGACGATTATCTCAAGTACGAGTCGTCAGTGGAGGAAATGTCACTAAATATTTTTTGTAGCTGATGAAATTTTCGATGAGAAATGTCTTTTGGCACTTTCTTCTCAGATCAATCATTTCTGGGATAATAAAAAATTCCAACACAACGCTGCCCCAATTTTTATACAAAAACCTGTTTTTCAGTTTTTAATTTCGGAATACGTCATATACCTTTTTTGTAGCTGATCAAATTCTTGATGAATTAAAAAAATTGTTCTTCTTCTGCCCTCTCATCATCGAGATAATTTGATAATTGAAAGAATTATTTTTTGATGAGGAATCGATCCGGAATTATTTTGGCAGTTCTCGCGCAATAATTAACCGCGCATTTAATTATTGTGAAGATGGGAAATGCATTCCGACAATTTTCTTTTGATTATTTGACGATTATCTCAAGCACGAGTCGTTAGGGGAGGAAATGTCAAAAGAAATTTTTTGTAGCTGATTAAATTTTTATAGTAGATTAGAGTGCAAGAGCACCAATTTCGTTTTCGACTCACATTCATTGAAAACGAAGTTTATGCCCGAGTGATCTATAATATTTTATGTTACGCCGGGCGATAAACTCGACTTATTGCTCGGCGTGACATGAATGAATTTTTTAAGAATATTAATTTCTCTGACCACTCATCATTGAAATAATTTAATAATTGAAAAGATTATTCTTCGCATGGGAACGGATTCGCAATTGTTTCGGCATTTCTCAGTGATTTCATCCTGTGAATATTTTCCGTTAATGAGTTCATTTATTTTTTAAATAAAGTATTGTACAATACTTTTATAACATTTTGTTCCGTTCATACAATCAATTTGATGCAAAATGACAGAATAAGTAGATATTTTATACTTGAACCATGAAAGGTATTCTTAATCAAAATTGGATTGAAATTAGTTAATCATTTCTGACAAATAGAGGGGATATTTTTTATAGATCAGTTAATTCCTGTGTTCACCGCAATATTTTGCCTCATTTTATTTCAGATTCGTGGATTTATTTTCTTATTCTCACTGCTGAATCTAGTCTCCTGCCAACTGGATCTCCCTCCCCTCGGGAATGATCGTTTTAATGATAATTACAATAGGAATCAACAGGATTACGACAGAAACCAACAGGATTTCAATAGGAATCCACAGGATTATGATAGGAATCAACAGAATTTCAACAGAAATCCACAGGATTACGATAGAAACCAAGGAGATTTCGGTAGGAGACCTATCGACGCTGACTGGAGACAAATTCTAGCTAAACTGGACTTTCAGGGAGCTGAGAGATGCAGCGCTAATGTCGCTGCCCAGTGGGCATACGAGACCAATGTCAACGAGTACACGCAACTCCAAGCGGTGAGTCCATCATCTTTATGCTGTTTGTCTATCCCTCCCAGAGAGATCAAATTCTATAAAAAATATTTATTGCATTCACGTACCTGTTGGAGACATTTTTTTTGGTGCTGCCCTTGGATGTGTCCGAAATAAACAAAAAAAATCGGAAAGACTCAGCTCTTAACTCAATTTCAAAGCGTTCGAGTTTTTTTTTCATATGAATAACACTGGTTTTGTCTAAAATTATGATTTAATTTTTCTCTTCCTGCTAAAATATATTTTTGAAACATTCTGTAAAAATGAAAAGTGTAAAATGTAAAGTCTTTTGGAAATATTGTAGTTTTAAATATGGGATAAAAACCCACATGAATATCACTGGTTTTCGCTAAAATTATGATTTAATTTTTCTCTTGCTGCTAGAATATATGTTTGAAAAATTCTGTAAAAATGTGAAAATGTAAAGTCTTCTGGAAATATTGTAGTTTTTCAAGAAAAAAAATTTCATCTAACACGTTTTTTAGTGTAGTAATTATTATATGGAAATTGAGGTTTTCATTATTGGAACTTGTTAGTGATCAGCAAAACGTATTATATTTTATCGGAACTGGAATGAAGTGTTATAAACAAATAACTTTAAACGATCAAACTCACCCCAAAACGCACTCGTGTCACCTTGAACACCACGTGACAGTAATTTCCATGGATTTTTACTTACCAAACTCGCCCACATAATGACACACTGATCGTTCCACGTTGATCCTGATAGCACTACCAGTATACCCTATTTTCACAATATTTTGTTCGCCGACTTGTACGTTTATCAGTGAAACATCGGAATAAAAGTTTCGGGGAATGTTTTGGGAGTTTCTTCATGCTGGCACCCATTTCCCCCTGATTATTTCCGGTCTTTTGGTGGCTAAGGCGAACAAGTCTCCGGAATGAAGTGATTTTTTGGTTGAACTAAATGGAAATTATTCAAAAAAATATCTCAAAGCAAAAATTTCACTGAAATTCACCTAAAAATCGTTTATGAATAGCATTTCATGAGCTAAAAAAAATATTCCAAAATTTTTCTTCAAACTCACTAGTTTCGAAAACATTCACAAAACAGTCTATCTAAATTTCTTCAACTCATTCCCTCTTCCAATTAACCAGAAATAATTCTTCAAATTCCCCATTCAATTCAAGCCACTTTTTCATAAAAATGAAAGAGTCCTCGACCCGATCTCAGCATTCACGTTCCCAATTCCCTCATGCTCACCCTCACAATTTTTCCCCATCATCATCATCATCAAACGCTTAACGTGCACCTCAATACGGGAAATGTTCCCAGGTGTTGCCATTGTCTCAAACCCACAAGTCACAACAGTTTAGTATTAAGCCATTGCCCAACAGACGAGCCCAAAGAGCTTTATCTACTCAGCACGAACATTCGTACACACCATCGAATCGCTCACAATGCCCCATCCATGTCCCGGCTTTCCAGAAACTCGCGTGATTGTGATTGTAACAATTATCACCATTACCTCATCAAAAACCCCATCATCGAATCTTTATTCATTCACGAATAAAGAATTCCGGAAATGCCATTATTCCATTCTATTCTGTTCTATTCTCTTTTCTTCTCTTCTCTTCTCTTCTCGTTTGTTCCAAAAGATAAATGAAAAATTCAAAAGAAAGTGAAGCTGAAAGACTGAAAAACCTTCGATGATTGACGCAGAAACCGAACCTCACCCACATTCTCTTATCAGCAGATACCGGGGCATTGTGTAACGTTCACGCTCTTCCTGTTTTGCCTTGATAAAGTTCAATAACTGCACTTTCTCACGATGCAATACCCGAGATAAATACTAAAATTATCCTAATAACCATTTTCCGATCAATCATTAAATAGAAATGAACTTGAAACACTGCTCACTCTAATTACCATAACAAATTGCCCATTCACTCGTTACAAAGGTATTAAATCGCGAGAATGAACTGTTGGAGATAAAAAAGATGTTACTGTACCTCTGGGAAAATGCTCATTGTGGCTCTAATTAATGAGTTAATGGGAAGTTATCATCGTCTGGATTGTATTGATCAAATTTTGTAATTTTTGATTTTTTGATTATTTTGTTTTTCTAAATTTGCAATTTACACAGTTAAAAATTTTCCATTGAATTTTATACGTAATGTCATGGAGAAATCCGTGGGAATTGTGAATTTCAGTGTAATTATTTCGGGAAAGTTGATTAAAAATGAAAAAATTCAAAGGAATTTCTCTTTGAATTCGAGATTCCTCTGAATTTTTAGGGAATTTCTCCAAAAACTCCTGGAATTCCAAGAATTTTAAAGAAATTCCCTGAAAAGTCAAGGAAACGCCGAGTGAAAAAAAATTAAAAAATCCTTGCGTAAATATTCTTATAGAAAAAATTCCAAGAGAATTCTCATATAGAAAAATCGAAATCTATTGACTTTTTCCTATCAAATATCTCCTAGAATCATCAAAAAAAAATAGAATTCCAACGAGAATTCCCCAGAATTTTAACAGAATCCCTACATATGAATAATAATAATAGTAATAACAATAAAATGCAATAATTATAAAACTGAAAAATCAATTATTTGAAATGATAGTAATTCTTTTCAGTAAAATAAACTAATAGTTTTTTTAATAATATAGTTATAATCGTATTTCTAGAGAATTCCAGTAGAATTTTCTAGCGAATTCGCCAAATTTTTCTATTGTATTTTTTCGTACGTGCAGTCGCGACTTTTCAGGTCAAGATATTCGCGTCAGGAAGTCACGCTTGTGTAAGTTTACCGAATGAATATGTTGATTGCAGTTGGAGTCGCAGAGACAGTACGCAGAGTTCCAGAATCATGCGTGGCATCTGCTGTCTAAGTTGGACGCATCGAGCCAGCGGGACCCCTTCCTCAGGAGACGCCTGAGGTACCTGTCGGTGGTGGGTCCGGCAGCCCTTCCTCCTGATCAGTTGGACAGAGTGAGTAATCAACCGCAACACTGCTCCATGTTATTGTTTTCATGGAGGCTTTATCAAGGTCGCAGGTAAATCAGGTCACTGGCTGGAGAATGAATAACGTAACTGAGAAATTCCCGGCAGCCGCAGGAGTCAAGTGTTTTTGTACGGCTGTCTTTGGTGTGCATAGAGAGAAATAGTTGTGCAGCGGAGTGGAACGCATAGGGGACTGATTTACGAAGTTTGAATTGATGGTTGGGGGATTAGTGGTTTAACTTGCAGGTTTAGGAAAAAACGGGTAGAGGCAATTCTTTGGAGAAATTAATTCTAATACACGGAGAGAATATAAAATGAAACGAGTTGTCCGTGGTTAAGTGAAGATATTGTAACTTGATTTGATAGATATTATTATATTATATATTATTATTATTTTGATGTAAAAAAAATTCAATTCAGTCGCGTATTTTTTTAGATACACGGTTAAAAATTTTCGCCTGCATTTTGCGCCAAATCCTGGAAATTTTTATCCTGTTTAATTTTTCACTGAAATTTCAGGAAATATTGGCATTGAAAAATCAAATATTCCAATGATTTTCTGTTCGAATGATCTGAAAATCAATAAAATCCTTGAATTGTCAGTGGAATAATTCCGTGAAAATTCAGAAAAATGAGGAAAATTCAGGGAAAAATGTCATTTTATTTCTGAATATTCATATTCCATTGATAATTCAATGGAGTTGTGAAATTTCCATCTCACTCCCACTGAAAACTCATAAATTTCTTTGATTTCTACCTAAAACTGGAAATTTCATAACCATTTTTTCCCTAAATCCGATTCAATGTTACTCTCATGAGAATTACGATCATATTTTCTATGAAATTTCAAAAAATTTCTAACAGTGTATCGAGGAAATTTTTTTTTCGAGGAATTGCTGTATCTTAAAAACGGCTTTAGCGATTGAGCAGAAATTTTGCTCAGGCCCACTCCCAAGCAACGCCAATTATTCCACAAAATTTCAGATTTTCAGCTCGTTCTTTACTTCTTTCTTTGTGAAGATTTATAAAAAATCCCATTTTCTAAAAACATCATATCTTCACGTTTCACAACGTTCTACATCATTTCCAAGTGAAATTAGAAGATCTTCAAAATGAACGATTACAAAGTTTCCATTCGGAAGCAAAATTACAGTGTGAATTTGATACTCGAGGACCATAACGAAACCCCATCACAATTTGACTTTTCTGTACCGAATTTTTATTCGTGTCTAAATTAAATGTTATGTCGCACATTGTTAGGGACGAATTAAAATTTCACCGAGCGACATTGAAACCAATTTAGAGAGGAAAAAATAATGGAATTTGCAATTTCACTTCAAATTCTCTGAACTTCCTAATTTTTCCACACATTTTCAAATTATTTACAATATAACCAACGCACTCGTTTCTTTTCCACTTATCTTCTCTCCCCACGACTTATCTCACTCACTATTTTCGTTCCTTCATCTCTCTCCTCGCACCTTGATTAGGTCAGACTATCTCGAGACGTGTGAGAATTGAACGTAATAAACAGCAAAGTGTAAACAATAAAATAAAAAAATAAAAAAACAGCAAAGTGCTACCCATATATTTTTTTTAGTACGTGGAGGAAACAAAACCTCCAGTCTGTATTAAGTGCAAAATAAAAGAGTTACGTAATTTATTGCGAGGATCGTTGGGAGTTACTCGAGAGTATGAAATGGGACAGAAGTGGCAGGTGAATAAGGCTTCTCCCCTTCGCGTCCTTGAGGGTTGATTGCAAATGTTAAATATAAACAGAGTTGGCATCTTTTGATGTTTTTCAGTGTTTTCAGATCTTGTTATTTATGAGTATGTTTATGAATACGAGTGATGCACAAAGGTGGGGTTCTGTTGTTAAGTGGTACACGTCCATTCGTTGAAATGAATATGGACGGGTGATTCAATGGGCAAAGGATTCTAGGGATCTCGCTGCGTGTCGCCGTTGCATAATTTTCTGAGAATTATTTTGAGTAATTTATACGTTATATTCAGTTTTAATGGGGTTTTGCCTGTTTTCTTATTGCAGTACAATCGGGTCATTAACGACATGCTGGCGATTTATAACTCAGCTACGATATGCGCTTATAATGATCCGTTCAAGTGTGGACTCAGACTGTATCCAGGTATTTTTAATTTTTTATGAATTTGGGTTAATTATGTGTATAAAGGAAAAAAATAGGAAAAATTATCCTAATTGGGGACCGAAGATGAGTTTTTTTCTTCTATTATTCTAAAAAAGTTATCACTCTGTTAGGGTAAGCTCTAAACAAAAATTGGAGTTGTTTGCAAATATCCCGAGAGTTTTTTGAAAGAAACTTGGAGAGCTTTTTTCGAAAATCATGAAATTGGTTACACAAATGCTGAGAAAAAAGTTTTTATTTTCAGAAACTGAAATTTGCTGACAAATTCCTAATCATTAGAAATGGTTCCTTTAACGTCATTTACATAGGCTTGAAAATGAGGAATTAGTGACCAAATCACTGAATTCCAATTTAAAATAAAATCAATTCATCTTTAATTGTTGGAAGTGATCAAAATAATTGCAATAATTTACTTCAACAAATTGCACGACGTTTCGAACGCTCAAGACGCTCCTCAGGTGCATGTTTCATTTCCTATCAAGAAAACAGAAATTTCATGTGAATTCTAGTATTTCTCATTCGTTGAATTTCACAATCGCAAATCCCTAAAAAATCGGGATAACTTCCTAATTATTAGGAATGGATCCCTGAAAATCAAAACTTTTTTTTCTCCATAAATAGTCTTATGACAATTTCCGCCGAACCCAGTAGTTCCCAACAATTTCACAAATTAATCTCCACCTTCATTTGACCCCCCAAAAAATTGAAGCTGATAATTTTTCAAATTAAACTTAAAAAAAAAAGCAATCGCAAGCGAATATGCAGAGCAGTTTTCTCCAGTAATTTCAACAAATAAATCAATTCAGCTTGTGCCCACCAAAAAGTTGCTCATTAAACTCCCTCTAATTACCTCATCGTCCATAATTAAATTGATTCACATGCGAGCACTGGAGAGCTCCAATGAAATCATCCACTTAAAATTCATTGAACTAGTCGAACGTATCAATTACAAGCGTAATAAACCGATCAATTTATTTATCTCATTTCTGAAAGTTATTTCTATGCATCATGTGCGTATCGTGAAAGCTGCAGGCCCTTTCGATACGCGCATATCCGCGCAATATGCATGAAGTGAAAATTACTCGAGAGTATAATGCTACAATGAGAGAAAAACATCATCAATGGTTGAAATATAATGGAATTTTTTATTCTAAAATGACTGCATGCACGAAAAAATTTAATAAAAAAACCTATCGAATTCGTTGGAAAATTCTATTGAATTTCCATTAAACTTTCTATTAGTTTTTGGCTGATTCTATTGACATGTTCAATAGAAACCATTCAATAGAAGTCAACAGAATTCGATTTTTCTAAGTAACTTATTCTTTTCATATATTTTCTATAGAATTTGCTCGACTCAAATTGTCCAATTTTTTTCCATTCTATTTTTTTTCTTCTCATCAAAAAAATTAAACGAAGAAACTTAGAAAATTTGAGCCCAGGAAATTCTATAGAAAATATCTCAATGGAATAAGTTATATAGAAAAATTGAATTCTATTGACTTTTTCTACTGAATATTTTCTATTGAACAGTCCAATAGAAATTCAATAGAATTTTCTAATGAATTCGATAGGTTTTTCTATTATATTTTTTCGTCCGTGTGACCTTATTTCTACTTTTATAGAAATCTCGAAAATAATGGCGAAGAGCAGGGACTGGGACGAGCTGCAGTGGGTGTGGATGGAGTGGAGGAGGCGAAGTGGAAGACCAATGCGTGATTTATACCAACAGCTGGTTAAATTGAATAACGACGCAGCCAGGTTCAATAGTGAGTCGTCTCATCGATTAATGAATTATTCTGATGAATTTATGGAGAAATGAGAGACACGTAATTTGCAATTAGATTTCACTGACGCCGCTGAGTACTGGATGTTCCCGTACGAGACGATAAACTTTCAGGCGGAAGTTGATGAAGTGTGGAATAGTATAAGACCGCTCTATGAGGAGCTTCATGCATACATTAGGAAGAGGCTGAGGGATTTGTATGGGCCGGAGAAGATTGGGAGACATACCCCACTTCCTGCGCATATCCTTGGTGAGTCGGCGGACTATTTTTTACGGGCTTTCTCGTAGTTGAAACGAATAGTTGGGATTTTCCCTGAGGGAGATACATTTGTCAAATGGTTTTATAACTAGGGAAGACGACCTTGGTTTGGCAAAAGAAAGTTCTCGCGAAAAACTATCGCCTGGATTGGCAGAGGGTCGATCGTTACCTCTCAGATTGTTAATAATTTTTTGTCTGAAATTTCCGGCACTTTTTTTGGAAATTGTTATTGAATTTAATCACAGGAATTTCGATGAATTTCGTCATTGAAAATTCGGAATTTCGGGGAAAATAGAAGAGAACTGTAAATTTCAGTTTCATTTTTCGCTGGAAATGAATGGAAAATCAGAGAATTCCGGTAAATAAATTCTGGAATTTTCAGGATAGTGATACTGAATGCGATTTAGGGAGAAAAAATCATGAAAATATCTCTGATTTAAGAGAAAAAAAATTAAATTGCAGATTCCACTGAAAATTCAATAGAATTTCATATTTTTTAGCAGTCGGAAGACAGGAGTACCTCAACTCACTCGAATTTTCTATCAAAATATAAATATCTAGTACCAAATTACGCTAAGTTGACAATTGACTGAAAATTGAAGAATACATTCACCTGAATTTTCCTGATTTTTATTCATTTTTATGGAATAATTGCAATAAAATTGACAGGTTCCCTTTATTTTTGCATAAAATTTTGAATTTTCAATTATAAAATTACTCGACATTTGGTGATTATGAAAAACATGTGAAAAGATTTTTTCATTGAAAAATACATTAATCGAATAATTAGAAAGAACACCTCATTTGCTTGACTGTACTTCATGATTTTTATATAACAAACATATGCTTAAAAGATGTCATTGATCATTAAATGAAAAAGTTGAATACATAATACTTCTCGGAGAAAATCGATTGGTCAATGTAGATATTTCTAGATTTTTTCCATAACAAATCCTCAGCATACATTTCCCAAGATTGTTGGCTTGAATTTTAAATGCAAGCAGAATAAAACGTAAGTAGAATAACTTACGAAACTGATGCCGAGGAATTTCTGCGGAAACGGTTTCCATAGAATCCATTGTACAGATAAATAAATTCTATTCTAAAAAACATGCAGTAAAATTGCAAAATTGTTCAATAGAATTGCAATAGAAATTCCATAGAATTCCCAACAAATCGAGGAGAATTTTATATTAATTTTTATTTTTTCTTCTCAACGTTGAAAAATTAGTCCGTAAAATTTTTTTAAACTAGAAATGTCAGATCACCACACACAATTTCTTTCGGAACAAGACGTCAATTGTTAATTATAATCTTTCGCAGGAAACGTTTGGGGTCAATCGTGGACAAACCTCCTCGACATAACCACTCCCTACCCCGGCAAATATTACATGGACGTTTCCGAGGAGATGTTGGCGCAGGTAAAAGCCATTCTCTCCAAAGTAAAAACAATAAAACCAATAGCACGATTTTATTATCAATCGCATGATTTCCATACACTCAATTTTATCTGCAGGGCTATACACCCATAGACATGTTCCGGGTTGCCGAAGAATTTTACCTCTCACTCAATCTTAGCGCATTGCCACCAGAGTTCTGGGCCGGAAGTATTATCGCTGATCCAGGGGATCGACCATTAATCTGTCAGGCTTCCGCATGGGATTTCTGTAACCGGATTGATTACAGGTAGACCTTTAACACCTAGACGAACTAATTATCGTTCGGATCACTAAATCAGAGCGGAGAAGGAAAAAGGCTATTTCTCTATGGCAGTCCATTTTAGCGTTCGCAAATTGAAATTGCCCCTGTAAAAGTACGAATATGAATAATTTAATGCAAACAAGGTACGCCTCGGAATGAGCGCCAATTTTTCAACACAGATTTTTGTATTTCCCTCTGATTCACCAACAAATATTGAAACTTTTATCACAATTTTCCAAGAAGTTTCTAAATTTTTTTGTAAATGAATTTCCCAAAGAGTGAAATTTTTGCTGATTTTTTTTTAGTATCAAATCTTTGTAATCTATAACTATTACAGCAAATAGTAAATGCTCCGCTGAAGGCCTTCGGGCGATGGCCTCTTCGTGCGGGAATTTATAACGAATTCCGTTGAATATAAAATAAAATATTGTTGGACACTTTACGCTGAACCCGCTACCATGACACATATTTGCAAAATAATAACGAAAAACAGTCTAATAAATTTTCACTTCATTTCAAAATATCTCTGGAATTATTAAATTTACATTGTTAGAAAAAAAAATAATTTCACGGAATTTCAGATATCACTGAAAATTCAGAGAAAATTCAAATTTTCGAGCAGCAGAATATGAGAATTTCCCAACTTGTTTTAATCTCCAATGAAAACACGAATATTCAGCATAAAATTACGCTGAATTTTCAATTGATTTAAAATTCAAGAATATATCTACCTTAATTTCCCTGATATCTGTTAATGTTCGTGGAATAATTAACTAAAATTTACAGTTTCCTTCGATTTGTCGATAAAATTCGCAGTTTTCAATTACGAAATTCCTTGAAATTGGGCCAGCGCGTGACGCAATACGGCTCAATAAATAAAATAAAAGCAAAATAAACTAAAAAATTCCTTGCAATTGCATTGGAATTACAACGTAACAAAAATTTTCAAGACTACCGTAGATATAACAAACTCTTTGCGACGATCTTCGTAACCAATTCCATACCCCCTAAAGAAGCTCCTCCGACGATTTTCACTTCATTACAGCCTGCCTTTTCCCTCTTTCCAGAATAAAAATGTGCACGAAGGTAACAATGAAGGACTTAATAACAGTTCACCACGAAATGGCGCACATTCAGTACTTCCTCAGATACAGCCACTTGCCCCGTGAATTCCGAGACGGTGCAAATCCAGGTGAGAGTCCAAAAGCCGAATCGAAATAAAAATAGAAACTCTCATTGCATCTTACGTGAGCGACTTGTATTTTTCTCTTACGTGTATGAGTGATTTACCGATCTACAAGAGTTACAACAGTCCGAGCTGGTGGGGCTAGATGCGTCGTAAAGTAGGAAGATAGCCGTTTCTGGATTCAAACAGGAAGATAGCACTAGCTTTTACCAAGTAATAGCGTTGAAAGCAAAACCCAACCAACCAACAACACTCACAATTCCAGTTATACAATATCACTCCTGTTATACCTTCAATTCTCGTGACATCAATTTCTGTCACCGAGATATTTGATTAGTTCAAGTCACTGCGCCATCAAGCTCATGACTTTAATAGACAACAATCTGCCGTAAAACACGAGCACAACGTTTAGAGACACGATAGCCACTGAAATATGTTTATAACATTCGAGTTTATAATTATAGCACTTTCACCGTAGCCACTGGTGATTTTCACAACCGGAAAACTCGGTTGACTCGATGCACACACGTGCAGGGAAGGCTTCCGGCATTTAATAATTTTTTACTCACATTAATTGCGAGAATATAAATGCTCGATGCAAATTTCAATTTGTAATTTATCGAACACGATCTATAACACTCGGTTTTCATTACCTTCCCTCAATTTTCTCGGCTATTTAAATGAATTCTGTTATCATTTGGTTGTTTAGGTTTTCACGAGGCTGTTGGAGAAGCCGTTGCCCTCAGTGTGGGCACACCCAAGCATTTACAGACCCTGGGGTTAGCTATTAAATACATAGACGAGCCAGAGCCAGATATCAATTATCTGTTCTCCTTGGCAATGGAGAAATTACCACTACTGCCGTTCAGCATAGCTGTGGACAGATGGAGGTGGGATGTCTTCAGGGGAACCGTCAGTCGAGAGGAGTACAATTGTCACTGGCACAGACTAATGGAGCTTTACGCTGGGGTTAAACCCCCAGTTCTACGGACAGAAGATGATTTCGATCCTGGAGCGAAGTACCACGTTCCCGCCAATGTCCCCTACATTCGGTGAGTAATCAATGAAATCAATTCTCAAAGTAAACTCCAGGAACAAGAAACACAACGAAACCACAAATTCCTTCTTTGGTTTTTATTAATAAAAATCTCGTAAAAATATACAAAAACATGATAATCACGGTTTGCAGCAAATACCATTGTCTGCAAGATAAATTTCCATTGATTTACCTCAATTATACAAAGAGTAACATCTAATAAGGTACGGCATGATCACAATTGTGATCCTTGAATCGTCTGATTCATCAGAATTAATGAACTCCACCTTGGATTACTCACGTTGAAAATAGAGAAGAACAATTCAGTAATTGAAGTGGTAAAACGGTCACGTGGACTCATCTCTCAGTTGAGTTTTTGAAGAATATCTCCGAATCTAAGGGAGATAACGAAATTTTCCTAATGACCTTTTTTCTAGAGCAAATTAAGCGCTACAAAAGAAGTTTTAACAAAAATTCAGCTATCTCCCTTAGAGTCCGAGATATTCACTGACAAATGGCCAATAGTGAAAATTGACTTGAACCGTTTTACCAATTCGCTACTGAATTATCATAATCTTCATTAGTATCTACCTAAAAATAGCTCAAAAACTTTGCGACGAGCCCCCCTCAGTACCCGTGAGACTCGATTTCTCCTCCGTGCTCGCCTCCGGAGTAGTCGCCGCCGGAGAAGTCGTGGTGCTCAGGCTCGTGCTGTTCTTGATGTTCATGATGATGAACAGGGTAGGGGATGGGTACTTTGACGGGGTAAGGAACAGGTTTGGGGACGTGATAGGGCACGTGTTTGGTGACATGTACGGGGACTGGTCTTTCGACCGGGACCTTGACGGCGTAGGGTACGGGCTTTTCGACGGGTACAGGCACAGCTTTCTCGACGGGGTAGGGCGCAGGTACAGGAACTTTGACGGGGTAGGGAACGGGTTTCTCGACGTGGTAGGGAACAGGCCTGTCAACGTGTACCTTGACGGGGTAGGGAACGGGTTTGTCGACGGGATAGGGCACGTGTTTCTCAACGGGCACGGGATAAGGCTTGACTACGTGAACGGGGTAAGGCCTATCGACATGTACCTTGACTGGATAAGGCACTGGTTTCTCCACTGGATAAGGCTGGGGTACGTGAACAGGTACTTTGACGGCGTACGGCACCTTTTTCTCCACCGGGAATGGCTGGGGCACAGGCACTTTAACTGGATAATGAACTTTTTTCTCTACTGGATAAGGCGCCGGAATGTAAACCTTGTGGGGTACAGGCCTGTCCACTGGCACGTGCACCGGATAAAGCACTTTCTTCTCAACAGGATAAGGCGCTGGTATGTGAACAGGTACCTTGACGTAAACCTTCACCGGTACTGGAATCTTTTTCTCCACTGGATAGGGCTGCGGTACATGCACCTTAACTGGATACGGCACTTCTTTTTCCACGGGATAGTGAACCTTCTTCTCGACTGGGTACGGTACTTTGACGTTCTTCACTATTGTTATTTCCTTGATCTTGGCCTCGTGATGATGATGCTCGAGGCCACCGGAGTGTCCTCCGAAGCTTGACTCACCGCCGTAGCTTGAGTGACCTCCCAAGTCCGAGGAGTCGTGGCTGACAAAGAGGCCCTCGTAGCCACCACCGTAGTCGCCTTCTGAGTGGTAGAGTCCGCGTTTCTCCTGCTTCTTCTCGATCTTGCTGTCGTCCACTGCAGCTTCCGCTGAGGGTGAGGGCTCTGCCTCTTTTTTCGCTTCCTCCTTGCTGGCGGCCAGACCCACCAGCATGGACAACGCCAGGAGCACTTGTATCTGAATAGAATAATTGATGAGTGAATTGTAATGTTAAGGAATTTTGGGAGTTTTGGGACTTTGATTTTAATTTGGAATCTCAACACTCACCGAAATCCTCATTGTCCGCAACTCTGTAATCCGGCGTTCGTCCAGAGATTAACTGGATTGATCCCCCCTTGCTGGAAACCACTTTATATATGCTCCAAACGAACTGCTTTCCCCGCCAACAAATCCTAGCTACACTGTGCCTACTCCCCGTCGAAAGTGAAAGACTATTCTCTCCGTGTGTGCAACAAGGTGTGCTTTACATTACGCCAAAATATCTCAACCACAACGTTACACAGATGAAGATATTCACCCCCACCTTCGTCTGGGGTAGGAATTTATTTCTACCAAATGGTTCCGTTTTGATCAGCTGCGTGGGAGTACCAGAAGACTCCGGAGGATTTCCTACCTGGATTTTGTGAATGTTTCATGGAATCGTTGGATATGCTAAGTATCCGGCGAGATCCGCTGACTCTGTCAAATAAATTGATCGGATTGAAGAGATCGCAGGCAAATTGACAAGACAATTCAGTAGCGAAGTGGTAAAAAAGGTTTAAGTCAACTCATCTCCCAGTTGAGTTTTTGAGGAATATTTCGGAATCTAAGGGAAATAGCGAAATTTTTGTAATTACATTTGTTGTAGCTCTCAATCGGCTCTACAAAAAAGGTTATAATAAAAAGTTTGCTATCTCCCTTAGATTCCGAGATATTCATTGAAAACTGGTCAATAGTCAAAATTGACCTGCACCGTTTTACCACTTCGCTACTGAATTAATGATGAAGGAATTGAAAGGAAGCTTTTTTGTGGCACTAAAATTCTACCCGAGTGAATCACAATAGTGGTGTATATAACGAAACCCAGCGATGCATGGGAGCGAGCAAATACCGGAAGGAGGATGTATACCGATGCCAGCAAAAGGGCAATGATATAAACCACAAGAGGCCGTTACTCCTCGGCAATGGAAGAGTCATAAAAGACTCGAAAATGAATTCGCCGCTAATTTCTCGAGTTCAGGTGAATCTCAGGGGCATTATAAGAGCATTATGCGATTTTTTCTTCCTTTTTTCGAGCCATCGCACAAGATGGACTTCAGTGAAAGTTTAATTTGCAACGAACAGATGACGTGATATATTCCCTTGGCGCTTCATACATCAACTTTCGACTAAATATAATGATATAGCACTTGTGGTGTCACACTTCCGCCTTATCCATTGAGTAACAATGCACCTGGATTACAGGGGATAATGAGAAATATGAGAAAACTTGGTAATGATTGTGTGTCAATATTGTTTGTTAATAATTGTGCATTATTCAGTGGTCAAACTATTCGTGAACGCAGGGGCGTTCTACGCACTGAGCATTTTTTCCTTGACTAGTCAGCAGAAGTTATGACTTCTATTATTTTTAACACCTGAATGTTTTTTAATCGCCTGCGTTCGAGTGAAAGGGAGAGTGCCGGTTACAGTCGTATACTTTTGCTGCATTGCAAGTAATAAACGAGATTTTCCGGCGGATCATTTCTCATCTGTCAAGGTGAATTGGAAAAGAAGGCAGAAAAAAATTGTGAAGAACGCATCATTAAATAAATGAGAGAGAATTCTTTGATAAAAAGTTGTTTAATTGGCAGAAGTCTTTGGACATTTACAAACTTATATTCTTGGAATTTTAATACATAAATTCATAATGAAGCAGTGTTGTTAAAAGGGTCCGCGACGCTGGCGTTTCTCCGCCGCTTGATCAGCTTGAGCCTCTGCTCCGTGATTAACAATCTTGACATGTGGCTGTTGATAGACGAAAGGGGCTGCGTAGTGGTTGGTTGGAGGGGCGTAATAGAACACAGGTTTCGTCTCGACCTGGTAGACCTTCACGGGAGGGATGAGGGGTTTGATGACAGGAATCACTTGGGGCTGTTGCTTCTTCTTGGGATCGGCAGGTTTCTCCGCTTCTTTGGAAGCTCTCGCCTCCGGGTGGACCGGCACGAACTGATAGTAGCTGTGCTGGTAGGGATTCCCGTAGGGATACTGCCGGACGAACCTGGTTGACGTGAAGTCTCCGGATGATCCCAGTCCTGATGAGAACCCTAAGCTGGAAGGTCCTCTTCCGAAACTCGGTCCCAAGCTCCCGAAAGGCAATTTCCCGAGACCTCCGAACCCTGAACCAACGTCATCCTCATCTTTTCCACTGTTGATACTGCTACCACCGCCGAATCCTATGTCGTCATCGGCGCTCTCGCTGCCGCCTTCGAATCCCGGGCTAACGTCATCGAAGTCATCACTCCCTTCGGGACCGTAACTAGGATCGAAATCGTCGGCCTGACGTCTGAACAAGCTGTGCTTTATCTGCTGTACCGCCAATTCGGCGGCCTCTTTTTCCTTCTCAATCCTCAGCATTTCATCCCTCTCCTCAGGCGTTAGGATTGTGTAACTAGGAAGTTGCTGGGTAAAGTCGTACTTCCGAACACTAGAATGAGACGCGCGTATCGTCTCGGTCTCGGTCGATGAATTACCAGTCTCCAGTGCCTTCTCAACAGCCTTCTCAGCTACTCTCTCCGCTGCACGCTCAACCGCCAGCTCTGCTGCTCGTTCAAGTTCCTCCCTCCGGCTAGCGGAACTAGTCAGAGCTACGGTGAGACAGAGAAAGGTAACACCTGCCACCTGCACCACCTAAGTCAATCACGCAGAAGATTTGAGCAGAATTAATTATGCTAACCAGCTACATTGAGGCTGTTTATTTGCTAATAACTCGCTAATCTTGGTAAAGAAGGTGAATTAATCGGGGAGGTGGACGTGGGGGACTTTACTTTTTCGGGCAAAAGTTGAAATTTCACACTTTCCATTTCTAGGGGGATTAATTGATTCGTTCGTAATAATCAGTTGCACAAATTTTTGGAGTTCGCGGAGAAAAGAGATTTCGGGAGCGGACGGATTTCAGTGGTTTTATGTCACAATATTTAAATACATGGTTGGGTTACATAAAAGGATGAGCTGGGACACGGGGTTTGGGGTAATGCAGGGATTTGACATGTATGACAAAATTATGTGGACTTAATCTTACTCTACGGACTTTTCTATTGCAATTCAGGCGTTTTTTATGTGAGATTTTTTAAATTAGCTGTGAATTTTAGTCACTGCATAGTCGGGATTTTTTGGCTTTTCGGGATTTTTTATCAGAACCCTTGTAAAAAATTCAATATCTTTCAGAAACACTCAAATATTTTAGGCGTCGATTTCATTAAAAATTGTTATTTTTCCAAACGAGCATACACAGTAAAAAAATCGGTGTTAATCAACTCTGTATGAGAGTTCAATTCCCCCTCAGCCCAGCCTCAAATTTTTGGGCACGGAGTGGATTTACATTTTTCACACCTACACTGAGAAAAAAAATTGCTTTTGCCAAGTATATTTACTTGCCACAAGTAAATGTATATAAATATTTGCATAAGACATGTCAAAATGAATATACTCAGTGCATTCACGCCGAAAGACGCTGTGGATTTATTTTCACTCCTTTTGGTGTGGACTCAGAGTCGAAATTCACTCCGAATTTTTAACTGTGTAATATATACCAGGGCTGTTGCAGTTTCTGATAGAATGCGAAGAATTGAGTTCTGCACAGTAAAAAACTCGGTGTGTAATGTCTCCAGTGTGAGGGGTCAGCACTTTTTGGGAGTTCAGTTCACCCTCTGTTGTTAGTTAAATTTTGATACGGAGTGGATTTCGATCATTCGCACCGAACTGTGACGATTACTATGTTCATGTTGATAATATAGTCGTCTCAATTTTCACCCCATTCATTATACTTAACTCCGGAATTAATATGCTCCGTACAGTGTGGCCTTTTGACTCCTTCTGTCGCGGACGCAGAGTCGAGATTCACTCAGAATTTTTTACTGTGGTAGGAACGCTCTAGAAATCCACAGAATATTGACTGAATGTTTATAGAAATTTCTAGTCTCCACTGGAAATTATTCTACGAATGTTCACATAGGAATTGATCATGAAGCTGAATCAGTCAAACCAGTAGCGAAGTGGTAAAGTGGTGCAAGTCAATTTTAACTATTGACTGGTTTTCAATGAATATCTCGGAACCTAAGGCAGATAGCTAAATTTTTGTTACAGCCTTTTTCGTAGAGCCAGTTGAGAGCTACGATAAATGTGATTACGACAATTTCGCTATCTCCCTTAGATTCCGAAATATTCCTCAAAAACTCAACTGGGAGATGAGTCGACTTAGACCGTTTTACCATTTCGCTACTGAAATGTTTTTAAGGAATGTACAAACTCTTTCGCACTCAAAAAAAATTTGTACATATGATTATTTGATTCTCCTACACTTAAATATCCCCAAATTGAATTTTCCGCTGACGAATATTCTGTTAGTTTCAGCTTTATGAATTGATTCTTAATCTTCATCAATCTCTCTATCTCACAGGCACTAAAGATTCCTATAAACATCATCCTTCTGCTTACAATTCGATGTCTTGCGAAGTCTTAATTTCTACCAATACTATTTCTACATTAGTCTCTCTAGAAACTATCCAAATTCCATTAGGCTAAGCCGATGGAATTTCCCAAAAGACATGTCTACGAAATTTTTCCATACGTGTTCACTCAACAATAAATACTAAACGAGATGTGCGAATAAATCTAACAGAGTACGAACCATATTTCGGTTTCTCATATTGACGGACAATCTACCCAGTGTCAAAGTGTGTCCTAATCTCACAAGTTCCAACAATAAACTAATGGCTCGACGATCGGGTCCAAGCAATATTTATACCACTTGTACTTTCCCCAAATGCAGTTTTGTAAAATCATATTCGATTCCTTCTATTGTCTCCCTGTCTGCCATTTACCTCTTACCAAGAGGATCGAGCATTGTTTTCACGGGTACCATTATACCCCATTATCGACTTTATAGTTTCAGTAATTTGTCCCAATGCTCTGCCTCCGCGAGTCCACAACATTGAAATTGCATTTATTTCTATTATTCCTTATGCCAGTTTTTCCCTCGATTGATCTTTCCTACACTCTTAAAATCAATTTCTCTCCTTCCCAGAAGTGCACGAATGTTTCATTTCCAATACAATAAACCAAAACTTTCTTCAAATTAGAGAAAATCACTCCAATATGAGAACAATTGCGAAATCCTTAAAGTTAGAAAAATCATCATCTTTAACATTTGGGATATTTTGTTCTCTTGACTAGAGTAAATCGTGCAACCTGATGTAGTGGAAACAAGTGCCACTGGTTGACATAATACCTCGTCATTACCCCGAACGGACCCAGTGAATTGCAGTAAATCACAGTGCCCTAATGATACAACGAAAATAGAGAAAAAAATAATCAACGGGAGGAGGCTCTCTGTCTCGCCCTAGTTGCTATCTGTGATATCTGCACCTCCCTCTTTCACCTCATCACTGTTATCAGCTTTTTCACCAGCCCCCGGATCGTCAGCCATAGCTTCGAAGTAATTTCTCGACATTGCTTTTCCCTTTCCTATGATCGCTTGAGTGACGCCACCAGTTGGACTAGTCTTCTTATCAGCAGTTTGTGCTTTTTTCTTTTGGACTGGAATGGGAACGGGTTTTTCGATTGGTACATGGACCGGCCGTTCCTCTGGAATCTCAACGGGATACGGTATCTTCTTGAATACGGGATAAGGGACTTCCTTTTCCACGGGGTAAGGCTGGGGAACAGGCACCTTAACGGGATACGGTACATGCTTGATCACTTGTACTGGAACTGGTCTGTCAACCTTGACCTCGTACGGTACATATCTTGTTTTGTAAACTGGATAAGGCACGGGTTTGGCCACTGGTACAGCGTAGGGCTTTGATATTGGCACAGCCACGGGCCGATCGACCTTGACCTCCACCGGGTAATGGACCAATTTGTCAACTGGAAATGGTTGAGGCACTGCGATTGGTATCTTCACAGCAACTGGTATGTTACGTTCGACTGGAAATGGCTCCGGTACAGGTACTTTCACTTCGTAATGAATCTTCCGCTCGACTGGAAATGGCTCCGGGATGTAGACTTTGTAGGGGACTCGTCGCTCGATCGGGACTTGAACTGCGTAGGGGATCTCTTTGTAAACCGGAATCGGCTTTGGGATCTTCACGGGGACTTTGATCATGACCTTGACCGGGTGCGGAATCGGCTTCTCGATGGGGTACGGCTCCGGCACCGGGATTTGGACAGGGTAGGGGATCTTTTTCACCACTGGGTAGTGCACTATTTTCTCCACTGGGTAAGGATCCGCTACGTTCCTCACTATTGTTATCGTTTTTTCGTCGTGGGGTGCGGCGGGGATGTGGGGATCTTGCACGTGGGATTCGGCGCTGGTTTCCACGCCTGTGCTGTCTGCCGCGTTGTCCGGGTCTAGGTGAGGCTGGAGGACTGTCAGGTCCATTGTGGCGACCCCTGATTGGTAGCCGGCGTAGTCTTCTTGACGAAGGACACCTGAAGTTCGAGAAGTTTTTAACTCAGATGTTTCGGAGATTTTTTGAGGAATAATTCAGTAGCGAAATGGTCAAACGGTTTAAGTCGATTTTGACTAGTCGTTCATTTTCATTGAATATCTCGCAATCTAAGGCAGATAGCAGAATTTTTGTTATAACCTTTTCGATGGAGGATATTAAGAGCTTCAAAAAAGATGTAGACGAAAATTTCGCTATCTTCCTTAGATTTGGAGATATTCCGCGAAAACTCAGCTATGAGCTAAATCGACTTCGCTACTGAATTTATGAATTTATGAATTCTACGACCGATTTAATCCCGAAATGAATTCAAATTGATGTTTTCAGTGGGAGTGAGATGGCAATTTCACAACTTGATTAAATTTTCAGTGGAACATGAATATTCAGAAACAAAATGACATGAACTGTCAATTTTTCCCTCAATTTTCTGAATTTTCACAGAAAAATTCAACCTAAAAATCAAGTATTTTATTGATTTCCAGATCATTTGAACAAAAAATCAATGGAATATGTAATTGTTCAATGACAAGATTTCCTGAAATTTCAGTGGAACTTGAACGCGATAAAAATTTCCGGAACTTGGCTCGTACAATTCAGACAAAATTTTTTAACAGTGTGGAAGAAGTCCCGCGAGATTTTTTATGTTCAATGTTACCCTTAATTATCCATTCAAGCTCAAAGTTGCCATGTTTTTTTGAAAATTCGCCTTGTACACGGTCCAGGGCCCGGAGTATTCAACTATTTATAATATTTTTGCCGGATATTTTTATTGATTGGGCCTCTAGACACGTCAAAATAAGATGTCAAATTTTTTCTAATTGTCCTGAGGCTTTACCACAATGCAATTTAAAAAATTGTAAAAAATGCCGCGCGACTAACGGAGTATTGTTAAAACAAACTTGAAAAAAAGTTTTCCCATACCAGCATTGGGATCTTCAATATCGTGCGGATCTATCGTCCGATAGCTCTCTAAATACGGTTTCTCCCACGAATATCTGTCCTGAGCTGGCAGTTGATGGCGACAATCGAACTTTACTCTCGGATAGTTGAATTGTCTCGCCATTATCATCGGCAGAAGTGCCCACAATACCCAGGCCACGTGTCTCTGTTGAAAAAAACATACACCGAGTAAACTTTTTTGAGTTTTGATGCAAACTCGTTGGATTTAAATGCACTATTTGTACTATTTATTCTGTCACTAGTGAGGCTCACCACGTGTCCCATGACGATATTGTTAATAAACAAGAGGCTCTTGATTGCTCTTTGTTGGATTGGATGAGACTGACGTTTAATCCATGCGAGTTTTCCTCCTATATAATACGCTTGCTCGTGCAAGTGTGCCATTTCTTTCACATTTAATACGGTTTTAGTGCACACAGGTGCTTAGTAATGGCCATGTGTGCTGAATACTCTTTTTTTCATGGACAACAATAATATCGGGCGGGGAGGGGATTCCACTTTCTTAATTTCGCTCGGGTCCACGACCCCAATCAGTAGAGTTATCATAGCAGAGCGTTGAAAGTGAAGAGATCGCTTTGATGGCTTGGTTTGATTAAAACACGATAGAACATCACGATACTCATAGATATTCATTTATGGTGTTGATTACATTGAAGGTAGAGTTGTGGGAGGCGTGTCGGGTGATTTAATGGAGCGGCCGCGATGATTACAAAGGGATGGAGATTATTTTACTCTCATTGAATAATTATTCGGGTTCAGAGCGACGAAATGGAGACAGTGGGGAATTGTTTTACTCACACGGAGAGAAATTTTTGATAAAAATTGACCTACCGTTCTATAAAAGTGTATCATGAGTCATCGTTTCCCCATTTCTATCCCGAAATTTAGTAAAAATTAATATGTGATGATCGAATTTTATTCTGCGTTAGAGAAATTTTATCCTGACGCATTATAAATTTTACCCTTTCAGACCAATAATTTTTATGTAGATAACAAAGAAAATTCTAGAACGGTTGGGAAATTTTACCACCGTTACAGTAATTTTTACTCTACCGGCACGGTAATTTTTATTTTTATCAGGATAAAATTTCATGTATTAATTTTTGATAAATTTTGGGATAGCAATGAGGAAACGATGACTCATGATACATTTTTATGAAACGGTAGGATAATTTTTATCAAAAATTTCGCTCCGTGCAGAAAATTTAAGTGACGGTATCGTAATTTTTCACAGGAGATTCAAGTAGAAATTACGGAATGCTGTGGAAAAATCACCTGATTGTAGGTAAAAATTCCGGAGAAGATACGTAATTTTTATTTAATATTTCTTTCCGTGTGGAATTCTAGTCGAATTCCAATAGAATCAATCGAATTTCACATCATAAACTACTTCAGTAATCTCAAAAGAAAAATTATCAGAAGGGTCCGTGTACAGAAGACCCATTGGAATTCAATTTCTGAAAGCCGAAAGGAACACAAGAATAGGAAACAAAATCACATGAATAACAAAAATAATAATAATGAAATAATAATAAAAATAATAAAATAATAACAAATAAACCTAATAATAATTAAAAAAATTAAATTACGATGAATGAAAGTACAATGAAAATACATCCCCATTANCCCCCCCCCCCCGAAATTTTCAACAAATTTTGTTAACGATCACAAATTTGACAGTTCCTCTGTAAACGATCCCAATCAAGTATTCCCCAGCACCTCAACATTATCCGAAATTTTTATCAATCGTTGGGAATTCGTGTGAAGACAGTTTCACTTTCAATCCAATTCAATAAAAGTGGTTTCGTTTTATCGAGATTGGGAGATGAGTAGAGAACAAAATTGTTTTGTGGTAATGAAAGAATTTTTCCCAAGCCGTCACGCAATTGTATTTAATGTACGAGTGATTTTTTACGCTGAAAACGCTGGGAGATCCAGGGTATAACAATGGTTTCTGTCACGCCAAGTGTTTGGAGTTGGGGCAGACGCACAATTTTCCGCTGGAGATGGTGGGAGTTTAGAGACATTGACAATCGTGGAATTGGTTTTTGCGTGGAGTTTGTGACGGCGGGTAAAATAGGCGAGGACGGTCGATAAAAACCGATGCAACAGCACTTGATATTCAGAGGAAATAAGAACTACTTGCGAGGGGGGTGGGAGGGAGGGGGGGAGGGAGAGCAGGGAGTTCATTCGTCTTGGAAGGGAGTAGAAATTGTCTAGCTTGACAGACTTCCTTCAATTATGCGGGGTATTGTTGCGTGCGGTTATAAATCAACCTGAAAATACGTCTTTTTGTTATGGGTTTTTTCCTTCGGACGCCTTTTGTAGATCGACGATTGAAATTCAATGGTGGGAGTCTAGTACTTTTGATGAGGAGCTGGCGGATCTTAGGTAATGAAGAGGGAGGGCGATTGATTTATGCCTAATTTCTAATGGCGAAAATTACGTTTACAAAAAAATTTAATGCGAAAACTTTCGCGGAATTTCTATTCGAACTCTATTGGGAATTTTTCACATCGAAATTTCAGCTAATAGAATTGAACTTGTGGATTGTTATTTTATGTGCTCAACACGGTATTTAAGTGATTATTTTTCCCAATCAGAGCACTGTATTTGAGGCTGCACGACAGTTTTATTTCGGATATTTCCTCGTAGTTTTTGAATATTTCGCAGTACCTCTTCATTTTTTCGGGTCATTTCAGATCGAATCTTGTATTTAACAGTCGACGGAAATCGGGTTATTCTATTAACATAATTTGTTTAAATGTACAAACTATTGGGAAAAGGAAATCCTATGAAAATTCCGCCACAAAAATTTTACAAGTTTTTCTGTCTGCATTTTCTGTCTCCGCTAATGAGATCTTGTTCAATCAAAAAAAAATTCAACGATTTCAAAATGGGGACGGTGAACCTGAGGAATTTATATAGAAACAATTCCAATAGTTTAAGTGTTGCAGAAAGAGAAAAATCTATTGATTCACTCAGTGAAATATTTTTTATTGAACGTGATTCTGCATTTTTTAGTCGAATTTGAATATAAATCCCAAATAATTTCGTTGCAAATGCGCTAGGCTTCTCCATTATTTATTTTTAGTGTGTTGGTGAACAAAAAGTGAAGTGTTTCTCGCAATACTTGAGATGAAGTTTCCTTATTTGGGAGGAGATATTGAAGTCGGATTTGATAAAAAAAATATGAAGTGAAATCTGAGAAAATCAGCAGTAATTGAGGAAAGTTGAGTAAATTATGCGAAGTGGGCTTTTCCTCGTCAATTTATTTTATACATTTTTATATAAAATAAAAGAGAAATTGCGCGAAGAATAGTTTTTTTTTCTTTTTTCAATCTCCAAATTAATTTTACACATTTGCATTGACATTGGATCATCTCTTGTGCGAAGTTAAAGGATTAGTTACTGAAAAATATGGATGAAATTAGTGATAAAGTGGTAAAACTTGACATTAATTTCGGACGTGCGAAAATGTCTCGTCAATTTTAGGGGGAAATGAACGATTAAAAAATTACTCGTGGAATTTCTACTGTAAAATCTTAAAATTTTCAATAACTTATTCAATGATATTTCGATTTCGCATTCTAGACTACCATCAAAATGTTTCAAAATTCAAAAAATTCTGGAGGCAATTGTTCCGCACCCCCAGTCTATAGAAAATTCAATTAAACGTAGAGTTCAATTTTCACAATGAATTGAAAAATTCCAACTATCACTGAAATATCCACGATCGCTCATTACAAAAAATTCAATTTTGTTGAGTCCAATAAAAGGACTTGCATAAACAATTTAATCTTAAATTAAATTTGAATTCACACATGGAGAAAATTGAAAAAACTTCAGGAAAAATTACATTACAAAACGTAAAAGTGACGTAAAATGTTGTTTTGGTAACAGTGATTTCTGCGAATCAGTAGCAATGCACCACAATCACGTCAAATCACGTAATTTTTACGTGAAATCTATAAAATTCAGATGTAAACTTTAATGTTCGACCCATTAAATTCTCCCATTCCATTAAATAAATTTCAATTTAATAAATAATTTGACTTGAAATTGAGTAGAAATTCACAGCATTAAAAATTCGAATCCAACTTTTTCCCCAAATTTTGAAAAATGTTAAAATTTGATGTGTCACCCTTTAAATTACCCCCATCACTGAATAACATACCGACTGCGGTACTACCCAGGAGTTCCCCGACTTCCCGCCGTCCTGTCGGACGTCTCTGCCTCCCGGAGGGACTTTCGATTTCAATTCTCGATCCTCCACTCTCTCCCGAACCCACCGCGCCTCATAAGACATTGAAACCTCATTAAAAAATTTCCATATCAACTCCCGACCCTCCCTTCCCAAAAAAACTCAAAAACTGCGACGCAAATTCGCGTCTATTCAGGTCGTGTGAAAGTTATTCGTCCTATTTCACCTCCCCCGGACGCACCGAAATTCCCAACTACTCCGTAATAATCCCTAATAGCGTCGCATTGTTGAAGCCCGCAATGACAAAATATTTTCGTCCCTAGCGCGATGCACAGCGATGCACGGCGGCACAATTTTGCACGCTGCGCTGCCTCGGTCTGTCGAAACCTCCGTTTTCTCGAGTTGTCATAATTCCCCATCAGCCTGAACCCCCCATTCTCCCTCCTTGTTCTCCTCACACGGAAGACATTGATGCGTAAGGATGCGATCCAATCGTCCTGTTGCAACTGAAAAACTCTTACTTTCATATGCCTCCACACACTTTATCGCTCCGCGCGAATGACCGATTGCGCAATTCCAGTCTCTTTTCCGCTGGTCGGCGTGTGTCCGTGCGTAGTTTCACTGAGATACCCACTCATGTGTACCAAATGTAAATATCGATGATCTCCATGAATTAACACGCTCTCTCACTCATTAATTTCATAATTCATGGAAAAATCCAACGGAATGTATCGACTCTTTCTCATTACCGAATAGTGAGAGTGTCTCTTACATTTAATTTATCAATTCTACTTATAATTAATGCAAATTGGACGGATTCATCCACTGGAAGAAGCAATTATACCCACCAAAACTATCCAAGACCTTAATTCAAACGAAGATGTGGAAAATAATTGAACCAATCATTAATTTAAACTTGTTTAATATTTATAGTACAAAAATACATAAATTCTGAATCTAGCGATATAAAATAGAAAGGGTAGAGCGTCTAACGTCATTATTATTAACATTAATAACCGAGCGAAGTCCGGAGACAAGGGTCACCATAACATAAAAAACTTATGATCTAGAGATCAGTGAGTCAACTGATCTCTCGTAACGCCGTTGAGACACCCATCCGACCTGAAAACTTGGCGAGAGCAGAGTAATCCGGGAGACCCCAGAGGCAGAGAGCAATTTTTTCCATTTATACAATTCCAGTCGTCAAATTTTCGATTGGAACACGTCAAATTCTGACGCGTGAAAATTTCATGACGATCTTAAAGCGCCCCGGTCTCCACCTGCACGATGAATATCGTAGTATTCATCGCACCGTATTCGGCGCATTCCAAGCTTCCAGTACTTCTTCTTAAAAAGAATAATACAGTAATTAAATTACAAAATCATCAGGTAATCGTTGTGTGAATGCGCGTTATTCGGACGAATTAGCCACTCGGTTTTGTTGAGACGCACTAGACGGGCTGTTCGCCAGTCCCTAGTGGTGATAGTCGTACGACTCGTAGCTGCCGTGCGCTGGTTCAGCGTATTCGTAGCCACCGTGTCCCTGCTGATCGATGTGATGATGCTCCTGGTGATGCTCAACGTGAACTGGAACGGCCACAGGTACCTTGACAGGATAAGGAACGGGTTTTTCCACAGGATAGGGAACATGTTTCTCCACATGAACGGGGTATGGTCTGTCAACTGGAACCTTGACAGCGTAAGGTACAGGTTTCTCAACGGGATATGGAATGTGTTTTTCAACGGGGTAGGGTGCAGGGACGGGGACCTTGACTGGATACGGTACGTGTTTCTCAACGGGATAGGGAACTGGTCGGTCAACAGGTACTTTGACTGGATATGGTACTGGCCTGTCAACGGGATAAGGCACCTTCTTCTCAACGTGTACTGGATATGGCTTGGGCACCTCAACCGGGTAGGGTCTGTCGACATGCACTTTAACTGGATAAGGCACGAGCTTCTCGACTGGATAGGGCTGGGGCACGTGGACTGGTACTTTAACTGGATACGGCACCTTTTTCTCGACGGGATAGGGCTGTGGCACTGGTACTTTGACAGGATAAGGCACGTGCTTCTCGACTGGGTAGGGCTGTGGCACCAAAACCTTGACAGGGTAGGGACGGTCAACTGGTACGTGAACTGGATAAGGCACCTTCTTCTCCACTGGGTAGGGCTGAGGCACGTGTACTGGCACCTTTACGTAAACCTTAACTGGGTATGGTACGTGCTTCTCCACGGGGTAGGGCTGTGGCACTGGTACTTTGACTGGGTAAGGCACGTGCTTCTCCACGGGATATGGGATGTGCTTCTCCACTGGATACGGTACTGGTACATTCTTCACAACTGTCAAGGTTTTAACGTGATGATCACCGTGATAACCACCTCCGTAACCACCGAAACTTCCCAGGTCGTAGTCGGACGAGTGGAGGCTCTGGCCGTGTCCACCGCCGATGTCGTAGCCACCGATGTCATAACCGTATCCGTAACCGAGACCGAGGATACCGCGTTTTTCTGTCTTCTTGGCTGGCTCCGTCTCCTCGGCTTTAGTTTCCGTCGCTGACTCCTTCTTCTCCGCCTCTTCCGCCAATGCCACTGCTGCCAGCAGGGCAAACACAAACTGAAACACGAATTTTTGGGGTTTAATGGGATTATTTGGGAGAATACACTGAACTTTACTAGTGATGCCGTGGAGACTAGACGAGAATTATTTTTGAAAGATCATCGCGGTCTAAAAAAACATCAAAAGTTTAGGAATCGTTGTGATCTCTGAGTTTCAGTATTTTTTATTTTTCGAAGGTTTGTCTCGATATCTGTCTCGTCTCGTGAACTTAAAAAACCGAAAATCTCATGATCCAGGCAAGATAAATCCTCCCGGAATTGTGACGGGATGCACCGATCCAGTGTCTTTCGAGATTGCGACGATTCCAAAACTTTCGATGTTTTTCCAGACGGTGATGATCTCTTCAAAATAATTCTCGACCAGTCTCGACGGCATCACTAAACTTTACGGGTTTAGGTGTATCACACAACGTGGGACTTTACCAGAATCTTCATTTTTGCTATTCACAATGGTTCCGGGTGCGTCCAGGAGTGAACTGGATGCTGATTGCCAGTCGTTCAGGGCCTTATATACGCGGCACACTTTCGCCTTCCTCCGCGAGGGACCCATGCGCCTTGCCCGGCCCATTGCCTGTGTACCCCCCACGTTTGTTCTTTGTTCACCCGACGATATATGCCTACCAAGTTTGTAAATCCGATACACACGAAACCACTGGTTATTTTTTTTTATTTCCACCAATCCGAGCTATTCGCGTATGTGTAATCCTCCATTCCCAGTGGGTATCCACCACCATCATCGAGCATTCACCTCCCCCTGTGATGTGGACCAAGTGCTCGTCACGATTTTGCAGTTTGGAGGATTATTTCTGCCACTTGGAGGAAATTAAGCTTTGGCCACTAATGGCATCGACAAAATTGTCGTGTATGGGTTTGCGGGATTCAACTTCCGAGGAAACTGAAAGTTCCGCTAGGGGGTGAGGATAATTCGTGGTAACAGGATGGGAAAACTACGGGTTTTTAACGCTGTCGTTGGCGGATTACGTAAAGGACGTTTCTTGAGATCGAGTGAAACTCACCCACTTGTTACCTACTTTGAGCTCGTTATTATTATTGTCACTTTGATTACACGAGGTATGGTTTACGACGTTGTCGCATGTGTTTTTGATGGGAATTCATAGACCATTGGGCGAGTTAATGGGTAATCAAGTGGTTTAGAGGGTTTTCAATGCGAAATGTTGAGGTTTGCTGGAATCCGGAAGTCTAAAGGGGGCTCGGATCTTGATGAGCGTGCACGAAAAAATTCTATGAAAGAATGTAGTGAATTAGGTAGAAAATTGGATTGGGTTTCTATTGAACTTTATGTTAGTTCTTGGCGGATTCTGTTTCAAAATTCCGCAAGTCATCTGCGCGGTTTTTAGTACAAGTGTTCAATGAAGAATATTTTATACAGAAAATTTATGGAATTCGAGTTTTCTATTTCTATAAAGCTTATTGTATTGAGATATTTTCGAATAGAAACATCCAATTCGATTGACTTTTTCTATAAAATATTTTCTATTAAATATTTCACTAGAATCGGCCAAAAATTGATAGAAAGTTTAGTGGAAATTTAATAGAATTACTTAGCGAATTCTCTAGGTTTTTCATCGAATTTTTTCAATGCAGGTGAGAGGAAATGCCACTCGTCAAAAAAATCAATCATGAAAAACTAAAACAGAAATGATTGAACGATATTACTTATTCAGATTCGTTTTCACCGGTTGTAATCAATCCAATTTCACTTTTAGTAATTTCGTCGCCGGCGTTCTTCAGTTCCAACTGTATCGAGGTCTCTGTCAAGCTGGACAACGATTTGTCAACGATCCCCGCAGGCCCCTGCACAAGTGCGACTTCTACAGGAGTCCCGAGGCTGGTGCTGTACTCAGGTAAACACAGAATGAAAAAAATGAATATATTTCATCTGACATTAACCAATTGCCTTGCATTAAACTCATTTCTTCGAGATCTAAATACGCACGATATAAAGGTGGACTCGGTAATGTCCTAGAATGCAGGTGAGAGGAAATTAGAGCTGTTCTAACTAGTTCTGTGTATAATTGTGTCTTGCGTATTTTCTGAAATATGATTTGCGGGGTTCATCACTCGAGAGACTAGTCGAGGTCCCTCGAGACTCGTAAATCTCGGGTATTTGGAGATTCGAAATTTCACACGTTCGGGTTATTCAACATTCATTTCGACTGAAAAATCTACAGCAGGATGCTCTCGGTGCTTGACATTTTAGTATGCGTAAAAATTCACGACTCAAGGGTGTCCACTTTGCTAAATTGACTTTCCCTATGTGACTGGATTTATTTCTACTTGTTTATTATACACCGTGTCGCGGATTTTGTTAATCACTGTGGATTTTTGGAACCACTTAATTGAATAATGATCGACTGCATTCTTTTGATGGTATTAATCCAGTTATGTAATTTATAGGTAATGCCTGATGAATTATTCATCCGTTGCGACGATTTTTTAAATGTATTTTTTTTATTAACGATTGTTCTTAAATTGAGAATATTGTCCCTGAACTTGGTGGGACTGAAGGTTGCCAGTGATGTCGTTGAAAAGAAAGGGAAATTTCAGGCTGAAGTGAAACAAAAGACTAGCTGGGGTGACCCAGCTGTCAAGGAGAAAAAAGGACAGGTCAGGTCAGAGGACAGGTCGCAGAAACATTGCAATTGACTTGCTTCTGTCAAATTTCTGGTGAAAATCGTGTGTCAAGGCTCTGGAATTGTCCATTAATGGAAATTGGAAAAAAGGGAATGGAAATTTCAATGCAATTTTAAGAGAATTGTAATTTTACCTCAATGGAAATACTGCAAAAATTGATGTGATCGAATAAAAAGTTTTCCATCTGGGTATGAGAATATTTGATAGAAAAATGCTTGAAAATCATGAGGACTAAGAAATTTGCTTGAATTTCTATTGAAACTCTGTAATAGTTGGGCTAGAGTTCTATAAAAATTTTGTCACAATTCTATTCGGTTTTTTGCCGATTTCTACTGAAAATTATGCAACTGTCCCTTGCGATTTTTTAATAGATATTGCTAGAGAAAAAATTTACTAGACTTCGATTTGTCTACGTGAATCATTCCCTTGCGATTTACTCTATAGGAATCCCCTGACATTTGTCAGAATTTTTTTCCGCGGAATTTTTTTATTTTTTATCACAAACATCAAGAAAAATTTCAGGAAATTCGTACCCAACAATTCTTATAAACAAAATCGCAATAGAATGAGTAACATAGGAAGAAACAAACATTATTGAGTAGCATTTTCTTCAAAAAATCGTTAGTTTTTGACCAATGAAAATATTCGATAAAAAAATGCAACGATGAAATTTTTTTTGCCGATTTCTACTAAAAATTACGCAACTTTTCCTCTTAATATTTTAATAGATATTCCTAGAAAAAAAATTAGCAGATTTTGATTTTTCTACGTGAACCATTTCCTTGCGATTTATTCTGTAGTAATCCGCTGACATTTATCTGAATTTTTTTTCGCGGAATTTTGTTTTTTTTTCATCACAAAAATCAAGAAAATTCGTGCTCACCAATTCTTATAAACAAAATCTGAATAGAATAAGTAACATCATCAGGAAAATTGACATCCATTATTCTGTAGATTTTTTTTCAAACGATCGTTAGATTTGGGGGGCATTCAAGTATTTCATAAGCGAATTTTTAGATAATTTTGCCCCCCCNTTTTTAAAAAATTTTCCCCCCCCCCCCCCCCCGCGACTTTTAGCACCGTCCGATATCTTCGACGCTTAGATTACTTGAATGACTCATTTCCTATCAAATTTGTCCTCCCCTTCTGCACTTTAGAAATATCTGGAGCACAACAGATGGTTTTTCTCAGATCTCGTCAACTTTTTGCAAAAGGAAAATCGTTAAAATCACATTTCCTCCTCCGCCGTCCTATTGTACTTTCCCAACTTCGAAATATTACAATCATCATTCCACAATTGAGAGTAATTACACATAATTTTTTATTCCTCACTTTCCATCATGCCAAACGTACGAGTTTTTTCTTCCATATACTATGTAACACGTGTAATCTAGCCTCTTATGCAAATTAGTTTCCCATCGGCGAAGGCAATCCGACGTCCTCATAATTTTTTCTCCCTCTCATTATTTTTACTCATTTTTCTCAATTCATGAGTCAACGAAAAAAAAATTGGCAATACTAGACCCCATTCTCCCACGTATATTTTCCCAATTGGTGTATTGCGATAATTTTATACTGTTGTGCTGACTAATTTAATTACCATTGGTTCAATTGCAGGGGCAAACAAACGAGTCTAGGTGAATGATGAATGATTTTTCCCAGTTCATACATTGAACCAGTTGTTTATTACATTCGCGGGTAAAAGAATAGGGTACAAAATAGGGAGGACATGGAGTACTGTCTCATTGCTCAAATGTTGTACTCCACTTCTCAGAGTGTTCTTCTTATAAAAGCAAACACACGAGGCATTAGTCTCCTGGAGCAGATTGCCAGATTGTGATGCAACAATACATGCACAGGCGGCATAAACCGTGGCACTTAGAACGGATCGTTCAGCGTAACCGAGGCTGTGAGGCTTCAAGCCCATAAAACTCGCTCGGGGTGAGGGAATCCACTGTGCTCCAAACTTTATAAATAAAATATGGGGGGATATACCATTCAAATGTTTTGATACATCTGGCTTCACTGGACGTTATGTCAGGTTCCTTCTCTCGTAGTGGGAAAACTACTCTTGATTCATTTTCTCTTTACACTGAGAGAAAAATATAATTGTGACTATATTCCATCACCATCGAATTATAGTCAAAATGTCCTCAACAATTTTTCATGGGTTGCAATTATTTTATAGTTCTACCCACGATAGATTTGTCGTGGTTACTTTTGAACTTTCGTTCGTTTAACTGCATTTTGATTTGCAAAAATTACGCTTGTGAAGTTACTATAATGCCGCATACAAAAAAAAATCGTATCGTTCACCAAAATGCCAAAACTATTTTCTTATTGTAAATCGAACTTCAGATTTTTCTCTCAATGTAATTGGAGAACTAGATGATATTGGAGTTTGCCAGCGGTTTTTTGGACGGATCGGGAAATTTATTCCAGAATGAGACAAAAACTCGGTTTGATTGTGATAGTTCATTTTAAGGAAGTAATTGTTGAAGGATTCTTATGGGAACTGCTGAGCAAAACGGATCGTCTTTTTTATTTAACAGAAGATTTCTCGGGGTTTCGGATAAAACTACTTACGGTCCACTACGTTTTGAAGAATAAGACATTAAATAGATTTTTTGCTTTGTAATTTTTTTATTCACACAAAATGTATTTTCTAGGGAAAAATTGGAGGGACAGGGTAATGAAGGGAAATTATTTTCTGCCAAGTAGATTTACTTGCCACAAGAAAATGTATACAAATATTTGTATTTGAAATGTGTGGATTTTCTTGTAGTTAGTGAATTTACTTGGCAAAAGTATTTTTTTTCCCCAGTGCACCCGAGCCGAAAGGGAGTTCAAGAAATGTTAAAGAAAATGAAAGCTGCATTTGTCTAATTGTCTTTTTGTACATTTTTAACATCAAAGATATAAAAAAAATAGAGAAGTATTATTCTCGCTAGAAGAAAAAATTATAAAAAAAGTTTCCTTAATTAAAAAAAAAATTTAATATGTAATAAAATATTAAAAATGGTAAGCACGTGGGTCCTTTATGTTACCTCTCGTGGTTAGACGTGTATTTTCCGCCTAAATGTAGGTGCAACATTAGATTTTCCTCCCGCGAACCGGAAGGGAAAATTGCGCCACAGGGGGGAAATTGTATATTTTAATACGCGTGCGTAAAACTGTTTTTTGACCAGTGGGAGGGATGCGGCGCTCGCCGAAACCAGTGCTACCCTCCCAAGGGCCAAAGAACCCTTTCTCCATAAGTATCACATCCTATTTTCTATGATAATGAATGGAAAGTGGGATTAAAATTTCGCTGTACACACAAGTGATAAAAACATTTTAACAGAACCAAAAAAGTTCAAGGAATTTTGGAGAAAATGAATACAACATCCGCGTAATCGTCGTGTTGTCCATCTTCAGCATCAAAGAAATGAAAAAAAATCAAAGAAATATTATTTTCTTTAGGAAAAAAATTCTAAAAAATATTATCTCAATTTGTAATACTGCAATAAAAATCTATAAAGAATCAAATCTCAATCATTTAGAGGATGTGAACCTAATTGTTGACATTAACCAGACGTAATGTCTCATGTTTCTAAAGAGGGAAAGGAAGTGGGGAACGGGGTGAAGTGATCAAAGTAAACATAACGCGTTGGCATAACTATCCAATTACCCAGTTGGCACGAAAATTGGCTGTTCTTTTAAATACCAGTGTACGGAGGCCCCTCTTCCTGTAATGGAAGAGGTTGACTCGTAAACTCTCGCCTGGAATTGCAATACTAGATAATAGTTGTGTGTGCTGTACGTGCGATTGGGGTTACGAAAGCATTGTGGAGTGTATTGGTGCATGAAAAACCAGTGTATCAATGTCTCGGACTAACGGTCGTGGTAAACAGTCAGAGCTGGATAAATTGAAAATCCAGTGGTTGGCGCCTGATAAAACATGGAAATGGGTGTATTAGTGCATCACAGAGAGAAAAAAAGTTTATAATTTGCAGGAAAAATGCCTGACTATCGGTACTGTTGATATAAATCAAATTTCTCCTCATTTTGAGGGGATTTTTTTTTATGATCAGACAAAAGAGGAAGGCCACCTTGAATTGAATAAAATAATCTCTTTTTCCTCAGGTTTTAGACTGAAGACATTCACAATCAGTAGAAAACCGAACGCATTCACTAGAAAACTCTATTGGGATTCTAGCGGAATGCTATT